GGCACAATAGCAACTCTGGCCATATAACCCATAACACACGTATCGCTCCATGGTTCCCCATTGTTGAATTCTGGATCGGAGTGTTTGGCGGGAAGAGCGCATCACTGTCGAGCAGTACTTAGCGTGGAAAATTAAGGTGGAAGGGCGTCTCACTGGCATGTCCCGGGGACTTAGCGAAACTTGCAGTGTGTTTTTGTGACGCGCTGCAGTTCCTAGTGCTCGTGTGACGTAGCCTAATTTCCAATGTGTTTGGGCGACTTCGGGGAATACACACGGTCTCCAGTGATTTAGACGAGTTTCTATTGTGCCCTTAGACTTTGCAGAATGTCCAGTGCGTACTAGATGCGCACTAGTTAAACTTCCCGGTTATTACACTGTCTCAATACACATTTCGAGTATATTTCCATATTCTTGTCCGCATTCCTCCGGTTCCAGTGCCCAAGCAAGATGCCAGAGACTTAGTCGAAATTCGAGAGCAACAAGAGCCCTAGCAGTGTTGGAATGTCCTATATGCGAAAACATTAGGGCAGACGCCACTCTCTTATACTGAATTATAGGGTACGATTTTACTCATGTCAAGGTTCTGAGAGTAACATGAACGTCAAACTCAATTTCACGGAGCGGGAAGTGACAAAACCACACTGAACAACAGATCGAGCAAGGGAAAAACTTTATGAATTCCAGGGGCCTGGCTCCGATTCTTCCAGGATTATTTCTGACAGCCCGACACGTATGCACCAATCACGCTGCTTCGTGCAACAAACGTGTTAGGCTGTCAGATGGGAACCCTAAACAGCTGGAGGATTTCATCCTGTCTTCACCGTTAGATTTCATCTAACGGGGATCCACTACTGCGCCCAGAAGATGGGAGAGTGGATGTGTGGAGTGGACGGACCTCTGCGCGCCGTAACATTATTAGGGATGGCGCGTGCCCAAATCGGGGAAAAAGGACACATTCACAACAGCCACCAAGTTACCGGTGAGAGTCTGACGCGTGGAATCGCTAGCCCCGAGAAGGTGTTCCACCTCGTCGTTCCGATGTTTTGATTGGCTCTCCCCCTGTTAAGGGGGATGTATCTGTGATGTCAGCAGATGGGGAACCAGACCCCATTGCCAAAGAGCCACGACAAGTGGGCCCATGTGGCGAATGTCGTCCATTCGATTGAGACATGTTCCAGGTTCAGGTAGGTTAGGGTACGAGTAGCGAAAATTAACGAATGTGGCACCAACCTGCAAAGCAACTCGTGACCCATAGTAACGTGGCTCCAAAGCACAGAGTCAGAAGTGGTGCTGCTTCCTCATAATTTCCCCAGTGCCACTCGCAACTCGAAGTCAGGAACATTCAGCCATGGCTCTTCCAAGCTTAGATAGTAAATTAGCCTTTCAGCCGATCTCCATGCCCTTTCCCTACGGCGGAGGCTGGCTCGACATCACCGTAGACCACGCCAATAGGCTACAACCCGGTGAATGGGTCAGCGGAATCGTGATTGATTGGCTCGGTGTGTGAGTATCACGAATATAGACTCATTACACAGTGACGACACGGTTCTCTCATGCTTTTATTTTGGCGTTAATCTGCGCACTCGCAGGATGCTGCAGTACGAACACGGTCGCAACCGCACAAAGTGGCTTTACGCTGGATCCTATTTCTGGGACTACGCCCGGAAGGACACACCGAGGCCTGAAAACGCCTACACTTTCGGATTGGGAATATTCGAATTCACACACGTTCTAGTTCCGATTAATACCGAGTAAGTTCTCGCCGCGTCGTGCCGTTGCACCAGAAATAATTCGCCATGATAATGTCGTTTTTAATGATGCTAGTCCTCGTTTGCGCATTAGGAGTCATTGGAGCTTGATCGTCATCGAGAGAATCCCGAGACCCGACGACCCGATTCCCATGAACTGCGTGCTATGGCACGCTGACTCGAACGGTACCCATGACGGTGTTGACGCTCCGTTGCGCAGGTATTCGCTCTCAAATGGCAGTATGCTGTTGTCTCGTAACTCAAAACGGGGTAACTAAATAATTGATGAAGCATCATCCGATATGCAGGTATTTACGAAACGAGGTCGTAAAATGCTGTTCGTGGATCATTGATTCGGACGCTGATGCATGGGCTGCGAGCATCCCGCTACGGCACGTCAAGGTGAGCGAAATTGCCTTGTTTGTACGAGCTCCGAGCCCATGCATCTCTTTTTCTCGCAACGCGATTTCCTCCACCAACCCCCAATTTCGGACGGGCCTTACACTGCGGTAATTGACCCCGTGTGTCTTCAGATTCCAATGCAGGACAATGAGAACGACTGTGGTGTGTTCGCGATGCGTGTGATGCATACATTGGTCGAGGATGGTTTCCGTAACCTCCCTGCGTGTGAGCTTGTCGGTACGCCACTCAAATGGCGCCGTCAGTACCGTCGCGATTTGAGGAAGTGGTCTGTGTTTTTTCGGGGAAAGACGATGGTGGAGGTTAGAGGTGGGGCATGAGGCGGGTCTAAGCTGGTAATGGGGCGGGGAGCTTGGTGGAGCGCGACTGGAATGAGAATGACAGGGTGAGCAAAGGGGGATGAGGCTGATTGCAAAGGGGGAGTGAGGCGGGTATGAAGTGGGGATTGAGACGGGTAGCAAGGGAGATTGAGGCGGGTAGCAAGGGGGAATGGGGCGGGTAGCAAGGGGGAATGAGGCAGGTAGCAAGGGGGAATGAGGTGGGTAGCAAGGGGGAATGGGGCGGGTAGCAAGGGGGAATGAGGCGGGAAGCAAGGGGGAATGAGGCGGGAAGCATGGGGGAATGAGGCAGGTAGCAAGGGGGAATGGGGCGGGTAGCAAGGGGGAATGAGGCGGGAAGCAAGGGGGAATGAGGCGGGAAGCATGGGGGAATGAGGCAGGTAGCAAGGGGGGATGAGGCAGGTAGCAAGGGGGAATGAGGCGGGAAGCATGGGGGAATGAGGCAGGTAGCAAGGGGGAATGAGGCGGGTTGCAAGGGGGAATGGGGCGGGTAGCAAGGGGGAACGAGGCGGGAAGCATGGGGGAATGAGGCAGGTAGCAAGGGGGAATGAGGCGGGTAGCAAGGGGGAACGAGGCAAGTAGCAAGGGGGAATGAGGCTGGTAGCAAGGGGGGATGAGGCATAGGCAGGTAGCAGGGAGCAGGAGGGGATGAGGCGGGTAGCATGTCTCAGCATAGGGTGAACATATTGGGCCTATGTTGTCAAACAAGACGTATAAGGAGGATTTGTTTGTCCCACCGTCCAGTCCATCGTGACAAGCCAACAAGCAAGTCACAGAACGCGTGGGTGAGGCTTCGAAACAGTCCCCATCACTCACGTGACCAAACAGCAAGTGTTTGTCACCTCCTGTCAAGCATGAAATAAGAACATACAACACATCAACCAATTTATTTATGCACTATAGCTGCCCTACATGACAACAGTGCAGAGACGCCCCATGATGGGAGTTTGTGTTGGAAACAATCGGTCCTAAGCGCCTGTGTCGTGTCGAAACACCAAGACACAAACGAAGCAAAACACTACGGTATCGAAGCACCAGCGAGTCAACCCTCGGAGGATGAAGTAACTGTCGGAGGTTACGGTCAGGTCAAAGGTCAACAACCGTTGACCTGACAAGTACAGCGCGACAGCAAGGACACACAACTGACTCGCTGCAGAGCAGTTGCCCGAGTCGTCACTGTATCGAACCACAACAGCAACAGTAAAGTAGTTGCAACCGTATCTCTTCGTATTCCTTGTACTCTTATATAATCTTGTATCTCTTTGCTTTAATCAATTTACTTTGCCCTCGCATACAAGCGCAAGGTGGTTCACAACACTTTAATTAACGCTTCCGCTACTACACCAAGTATACGCAGAGTTCACCCCTGCAAAGATCCTAAGGGCTTTTCAGCCCAACTGGTTGTGTATGGCACTGGTAATGTTGCACCACAAATGACATACCAGTAGCTACCTTGTTGCGACACCAATATATTATTAACCTAGACCATATTTAAACAACAATCAAGGTAACAGGGTCACTGCTCTCCTTAAACAATCTGACAGTTGGTCCGTGAAGGATGTGTCTGGTTATGCACTGTCGGTGCTCATACTTTTGAGTAAACGTACGGTATTGGACAGCTCAACATTCCTTTGGTAGTAATGATTTATATGTTTTTTCAACACTATATTGCAGCCTTGCAAATAAATGTGTGATTTTGTGCCCCCCGTGCGCCATACCACGTACCTCAGTTCATTGCCACGAACGTTGTTCTCTCCGACTTGCGACCCAATCGCCACCACTCACAACTAACTCCCGAGCATGCGTTCTTATCGCAGGTGTTCCATAACGGCTTCGTATCAGACTGTCGCATCGCTGTACGAATTGCGCCAATGGTTCGTCCCCGTTTCTCCGAAGTGGCGATTTGACTATTGACGTGACGCGACGCCTGCGCCAAGCTTCGTGAGGCACGCGTGGAAGACTATGAAAATTAGCCACATAAAGTCTGTGCGCGCAGAATAGATATCTTTCGTGAGCCCTAATACACTAGCGCACGTTTAAGCACTAGCAACATTTTGTATCGCTCCCTGCCGCTTCTGGACGGATAAACGCCTACTCCCACTGAATCATGCCCCATTGGAGCCGCATTTTTTTTATGGATGCACGTTAACCACCGTGTGATTGGTTGTTTGGGGAAACGAGGGACCTGGATGTCGCAAGGTGGAACAGAGCAAGAAACACTCCAACCCTCGTCACCTCCGTGCTCCTCTTGCGTGCCTGCTTGTGGGACGGTCATCTGCTCCAGGCCCCTGTCTGATACTCGTCCCTTCTAAGCTCAACAATTTTTTAGTGCGCGAAGCGTAGCTGTCAGGTTGCAACGTCAAAACTAACACACACCTCAGACTTCTGCGTGAATGGAAACCTAGACATTGCAATGGATAGTCAGACGATTAAGGGGCCCGATGGGGCGATCGTTTTGGCAGACTCGTCGAAATTGCCGGAGGAAAAAATTTATATGGAGTTAGTTACAGTAGATAAAACGGCCGAGATCGTTAACGAGTACCGCAAGTACAATGCGTCGTCGGCGCGTGATGACGTTGAGTCAGGACGGGACTCTTCATCTGGTGACGAATCAAATAGCGACGGCGATGTTGGGGCATACGCTAACGAGGGCGTGTCCTCCCCTCCAAAACCACGGGAGAGGCGCGTGAGGCGCTTAGATGACATCGGTCCCAAAGCCGGCCAGAAAGGTATGTGTCTTTGGTACCATCTGCTGAAAGGTAGACTTGCATGATTAATTACCTCCGACCGATCCAGTAAGTGCGGTTTGCCGTCGTGTTTGACTTGTTCCCGTTACTGAAGCTCCGATTGTGCTCCCCCGTAACATTGTCAGAGGACAAGCGTGACAACCGAAAGGGGCGTAAGCGCCGTCAACAAAAGAGAGGCACTACTTCACATGCTGCGTCTGAAGGCGACGAGGAGGTCGAGGACGGCGGACCCGTCAAAGAAGGTGCGTGTTTGTGTAATATCGCCGGTTTCTAAGTAGCACGTTACTCCCTGCATCGACTGATCATACTGATGCCACTTCGTGCAATTAAGGTTAGCGCGCACTGGACTGCTAATGTTCTTGTGATGTCCGCCCTCGCAGCTCCGTCAGCAGGCAGGCGTGCAGGACAACGCGGTAGATGTTATGACCGTAGCGGGAGGGCTGCGGAGTATCATGGCAGTCCATCTGGCCGCCTAGGAATGTCTGCGCGTGGTGACGAGCAGGAACATGGTGAGCTTGAAGGGCGTGGTGGTGGAAAGCGCAACAACGCGAAGGCGGCGGCGGCGGCCAAGGGCAGTCCCTCGGGGAGGCTCTCGGAGGACGTGGCTGGTGGCGATGAGCATGAACATGGCGAGCTTGAAGGGCGTAGTGGTGGAAAGCAAAACAACGCGAAGGCGGCGGCGGCAAAGGGCAGTCCCTCGGGGAGGCTCTCGCAGGAGGTGGCTGGTGGCGACGAGCAGGAACATGGCGAGCTTGAAGGGCGTGGTGGTGGAAAGCGCAACAACGAGAAGGCAGCGGCGGCGGCCAAGGGCAGTCCCTCGGGGAGGCTCTTGCTGGATGTGGCTGGTGGCGACGAGCAGGCGCTGCCCAGGCCCGTTATAGAAGGTTGGCGGCTCCTGGCTACCTCTGTCGTTGATTTTGAGGTTGCATAGCCTTCGCTGCCACCCTCCTTGTATATTGTTACCTGTTGCACTAGCAACTATGTCGTGAGTGACGTGTAGCTGAGATTGTCTCTCTCATATCCCTCTCGCTGCAGGGCTAGCAGAGCAGCGAGGTGGTGGCGGTATCGATCAGGATGAGGACAAGCCTGCAGCAGTCACGGCTGGGAAAGAGCATGGACGTGAAGCTGTGATTCCGTACAAACGACGCAATGCTGTGGACTCGGCCGGTCGCGACCGAAATGCGAGACAAGCTCGACAAGGGACGAAACAGTATGTTTCGAGCTCGTCGGGTTCGGAGGAGGGATCCAGTGACAGTGAGTCAGGCAGCTCATCAGGGAGTGAGGAAGTATACGAGGACGAGGAGGAGGAGGAAGAGGAAGAGGAGGATGAGGAGTTGGAGCCGGAGAGCGAGGATGAGGAGGAGGCTCGGCCTTTGAAGAGGAGGGGTGTGCGGAAGACCAAGAAGGGCAATGGAAAGCGAAAATCGGAGACAGGACGGGTGAAGAGCTATAAGCAGAGTGTGCGTCGTGCCAAACCACATGGCAAGCGCCAGAGACCTCGATTCGAAGCTAAAATTGTGGGTGTGCGTAGCAAGGAGAAGCGGGAGTTGGATTTTTACAAGTCCATGGGGCTACGATGTCCATCAAGCCCTCATGATCGGAAAGCAACCGACACGTATGCTGCGTTACGCGAGCAGATGGATTCGTCTGGGAAGGGAGATCCGTTCGCTTGGGGGTCAGCGCGGTTTGGCACGGAAGCGACGGACCCGCATGCAAAGCTTTCGGGGGGTCACGCGGTTCAGGTGAAAATCGAGGGAGCAACGAAGCGGCACGAACCCTCGGCCGCCGCAGCAGCCAATGACGGTGTGGGAGGAGGTGTGTGGGCGAATTCCTTGGGTGAATGTGGCGGCGGTGTGGAAGGCTCCATGTGGGATGTACGGGATAGCAGGGGAGAAGGAGGATACTTGAAAATGGATCCGGCGACTAAGGAGGGGAGGGGCGAGAGCATGGGCACACCTGGCGCATCCAGTCGGCCCAATGTGGCTGGCGGCAAGACGGTGGAGCAGCTCATGCGGGAGCTTGCCCAGCGGGATCGCGAAATTGCGGCACTCAAGGCAAGGCCAGGAGCCAAAGGACCTGTCAAACCCTGCACCCCTCCGTCTAGGCCTCCTCGTATTGCGTCTCTGTCGAGCGACCCATCTGCAGTGGGCCTCGATCCAGGCGTGGCGCCAGAAAGCCCATCGACGGTAGACGTACCAGTCCGTCGAACGCGTGGGATGCCCAAGCCCAAGCTGCTGAAGGTGGGTATGTTTAAGTGTTAAGCAAGGTGTGGCATGGGGCTCAGTGATAGCTGCAGCTCTCTCTCTCAACACCTCGTTTCCCCCACCTCTTTATGCTGGTCAGAGTGTTTGTACCATTATGCGCAGTGATAGCGGCCTGACTGCGGTGTGATAGGCACTCCCAGTATGCCCCGCTTCAAGGACGCTGGCGCTGGGCGTACGATACTCTCACACTCTGCCCCACCTCTCCGAGCTCACCATAACTGTTCTATTTCCTCCCCCCCCCCCCCCTCTCTCCCGTCACTCCACATCCTCTTCCAGAGCCCCTGTTCATGGCGCTGCTTGTCTGGTATGGGTGGCATGCGGCGCAGAGATAGCAGCAGCCCTCTCTGTCATCCCTACGCGCCCAATCCCTTCTTTCCGCTTGCTCCCCCCCCCCCCCCCCCTCTCTATCCCACCCCTCCCCCTCCTCTTCCAGAGCCCCTCTAAACGGTGCTGCTGGTCTGGTGTGGGTGGCATGCGGCGCAGAGATAGCAGCAGCACTCTCTGTCATCCCCACGTGCCCAATCCCTTCTTTCCGCTTGCTCCTCCCCCCCCCTCTCTATCCCACCACTCTCCCTCCTCTTCCAGAGCCCCTCTAAACGGTGCTGCTGGTCTGGTGTGGGTGGCATGCGGCGCAGAGATAGCGGCAGCACTCTCTGTCATCCCCACGTGCCATTTCCCCTTCTTTCCGCTTGCTCCCTCCCCCCCCCCTTCCCCTCTCTATCCCACCCCTCTCCCTCCTCTTCCAGAGCCCCTCTAAACGGTGCTGCTGGTCTGGTGTGGGTGGCATGCGGCGAATAGATTGCAGCAGCACTCTCTGTCATCCCCACGTGCCCAATCCCTTCTTTCCGCTTGCTCCTCCCCCCCCCCTCTCTATCCCACCCCTCTCCCTCCTCTTCCAGAGCCCCTCTAAACGGTGCTGCTGGTCTGGTGTGGGTGGCATGCGGCGCAGAGATAGCAGCAGCACTCTCTGTCATCCCCACGTGCCCAATCCCTTCTTTCCGCTTCCTCCCCCCCCCCCCCCTTCTATCCCACCCCTCTCCCTCCTCTTCCAGAGCCCCTCTAAACGGTGCTGCTGGTCTGGTGTGGGTGGCATGCGGCGCAGAGATAGCAGCAGCACTCTCTGTCATCCCCACGTGCCCAATCCCTTCTTTCCGCTTGCTCCTCCCCCCCCCTCTCTATCCCACCCCTCTCCCTCCTCTTCCAGAGCCCCTCTAAATGGTGCTGCTGGTCTGCTGTGGGTGGCATGCGGCGCAGAGATAGCAGCAGCACTCTCTGTCATCCCCACGTGCCCAATCCTTTCTTTCCGCTTGCTCCTCCCCCCCCCTCTCTATCCCACCCCTCTCCCTCCTCTTCCAGAGCCCCTCTAAACGGTGCTGCTGGTCTGGTGTGGGTGGCTTGCGGCGCAGAGATAGCAGCAGCACTCTCTGTCATCCCCACGTGCCCAACCCCTTCTTTCCGCTTGCTCCTCCCCCCCCCTCTCTATCCCTCCCCTCTCCCTCCTCTTCCAGAGCCCCTCTAAACGGTGCTGCTGGTCTGGCGTGGGTGGCATGCGGCGCAGAGATAGCAGCAGCCCTCTCTGTCATCCCCACGTGCCCAATCCCTTGTTTCCGCTTGCTCCTCCCCCCCCCCTCTCTATCCCACCCCTCTCCCTCCTCTTCCAGAGCCCCTCTAAACGGTGCTTCTGGTCGCGTGTGTGGCATGCGGCGCAGCGTGTAGCGGGCCGGGCTGCAGCGGGGGTTGTGACTCTTAGTACGAGGAGAACATGACCCCTTACGCAGTCCGTACGGTGCTCTCACACTCTGCTCCCTCTCCCATATGATTTCACTCAGACTAGTTCATCCCCTCTCTCCCCCCTCTATCTCCCCGCTCTCCCCTACCTCAACCAGAGCCCCTGTTCATGGTGCTGGTGGTGGTGTGGGTGGCCTGCGGCACGTGTTACCCAAATCCCACTCTCTCGACCTCTGGTTTCCGCCCTTCTTTGGGAGTCACCCACATATCCTTTTTTCCTATCCATCCGGCTGTCGTAGGTTCATTTCGCAGAGGGCCGGGACCGGATGTGCCTCGAGGCGCCAGACCATGCCATAGACTTCTACCCAACGCTCGAACAGCGCGTGCAGGTGTTGTATGAGGTTATCAGCGAGACGCACGTCATCAACATGATGCAGCTGCGAGAGGCTATGGAAGACAAAAACATCATAGGCGCTTTTAAACGCGCCTGGACGTCATGGAAGAACGAACGTGGCTTCCATCTCAAGCGCAGAGTGCTCGTCACTTTCGGCAACAAGGTGGAAGGCCTGCGTGCAGCCGAACTGTGGATGGGCACCAAGAAGAAGCGGAAGATGTGGAAAAAATACCAACCGAGTGAGTACTTGCGTGACTGTTTTCCATCCCCTATTGACATGTCTGCTCATGCACCCCTCGTGCATGCCCCACGTTGATGAAGCACGTACCCCCAATGCATCCCCACTTTGGCACGCGACTACATACCTGCTCTCCTCGCCCAAGCTTGTAGCGCATGTGCAAACACATCCGCATGACAGCCATCCGTTGGTTCTTCTCCCACACTCCCCTTCTCCCGCCCCCCGTTTAACTCCCGCCCTCCTCTTCTCTCCCGCCACCCCCTTCTCTCCCGCCCTCCCTTCCTCTACCGCCCTCCCCTTCTCTCCCGCCCTCCCCCTATCTCCCGCCCACCCCTACTCTCCCGCCCTCTCGCCATTCATTCCCCCCCGCCCTCGATGTTCATCCATACCCTTTGGACAACCCTAAACCATGAGTCATGCATGATCACGGATGTCTCATGCTTCCCCGCATTCTCATACATGCGCGCAGGAGGGAAACAGCGGGTCAGCTCGTGGGGAAACAACAGAGACGGGCTCCCGTTTGCCAACGGCCGGTTTGTAGATGCGGTCCGGGAAGCATTTCGGAATTTCTGTGTCGGGCGCCGGGTGTGCGTCAAAGCATACCACATTGCCTGGTCAATCATGGTGGTACGCAATTATTGCTCAACCCATGGTATGCTCTAGCTTGGCATGCTGTTTTGTGTCCCTCGGCATGGTATGTGGGGCATTTAGCGCAGCCTCTAAACTCTGCACGCGAGTGTCCACTGAAGTTGGTGTATTTCCTCCATCCCATACTGTGCTATACACTTTCAGATTGACCAGGGCCTATCAAAGGTTAAGAGGACTGACTGGAACGTCTCCAACTCCCACCGGAAGAACAGTGAATGGATGGGGGGTTTGCACCGAAATGTGCGGTGGATTATCAAGGACCACTTCACACGCCACACCCCCGTGTACAATACAGACGTGAAGGGCTTCAAGTGGGGCGACCGTGGGCTGTATGTTCACGAGTCAGGATTTGAGGCCTTCCGGGGGAAGGCTGAGCTTGATGCCGAAACGAAGGACCTGAAGGAGGAAGAAAAGGAGGTGTACGACTCGGAGGACATGGAGGAGGATAAGGAGGAGGAGGATGAGGAGGAGGAGGAGGAGGAGGAGGAGGAGGAGGAGGAGGATGACGAGGAGGAGGAGGAGGAGGAGGAGGAGGAGGAGGAGGAGGAGGAGGAGGAGGAGGAGGAGGAGGAGGAGGAGGAGGAGGAGGAGGACGAGGAACAGTGGGGGCAGGAGCAGAGGAAGAGGAAAAGGCACAAGAGACCTAGGGCAGGCGGGAGGGATGAGGAAGAGGATGAGAAACGGGGGGGGCAAGATCTTAGGAAGGGCAGAAGGCACAAGGGGGGGAAAACCAGGGGAGGCAGGAGGGAAGCGGACGAGGAAGAGGAGAAGGAAGAGGAGCTGGGGGATAAGAAACAGGGGGGGCAGGAGCGGAGGAAGGGCAGGAAGCACAAGAGAGGCAGAGGGCAGGGAAGCAGGAGGGAAGAGGAAGTGGAGGAAGATGAGGAAGAGGAGGAGCAGGAGGATGAGAAACAGGGGGGGCAGTCGCGGAGGAAGGGGAGAAAGCACAAGAGAGGCAGAGGCAAGGGAGGTTGGAGGGAAGTGGAAGAGGAGGAAGAGGAGGAAGAGGAGAAAGAGGAGGAAGAGGATGAGGATGAGGATGAGAAGCAGGGGGGCCAGGAGCGGAGGAAGGGCAAAAGGCACGAAAATGGCAAAAGAAGGGGAGGCAAGAGGGCCAAATGATGGTGTGACGAGACAAGGGGGGCTGCAGATGAGGCATGCGTGGAGTTTACAAAAGGGGACAGCAGGAGAGGCATCACATACGTGCGAGGAGAGGCATTGGTGGAGACAGCAAGGGGGGCATCAGGGAAGGCACGTGTGGATAGAGAAAGGGGGACAGCATTACGGAGGGGAGTGGTGCAAGGGCCGCAGCAGTATAGGCATGACCGGATAGGACAAAGCAAACAGCAGTAAAGGCTTGACTAGAGGATGTCTAAGGCGGAGCAGCAGACGCATGACAGGGCTGGACATGCGAGGAAGCAGTGGACGCACGGGCAGGGCAATAGTACCACAATTAGTGAAGGAGGGATGGGAGATGCAGGAAGAGAGGCAGGAAGTGGGGTCGCAGCCAAGGCATGGATCATGGGGGCTAGGTGTAGGGGCGAGCATGCTCGGCCTAGAGCACGTGACATGGGGTGTAGTGGGAGGCATAGTGTACGGGAGCATGAGAAGCAGGTTGATGCAGATCACCCTAAGAGGCGGGGTCTTTGACTAGAGAGGGTGGGGTGTAGGATGCTCTTGTATGTGCCTTTTTTGTTGAGAATAAAACCCATTTACCAACGCTTCAGTAATGGTCATTTTGGATGCTAGGATGAGGCAACTAAACATCTTGTTAAACAACATGTTAACCATTGCAAGTCTCCAATCCAACTTCATTATAACTAAACCGGATGTCCATGAAGAGTACAATGCAATGAGATCCAATCTCCGAAATTGCTCTGCGGAAACTCCAACCAAACTTCTGCCGAAGGTTTTCACCTGAGAGGTTTGAACACACAAGCATCGCAGAAGCATGCGAACAGCGTTCGACAAAGCATCCAGAAGAAGGTATATACTTTCTCAAAATATCGTACCAAACAAGACGTTTATAAATCATTCAACAAAGCTTTAAAGCAACTCTTTCCAAAGGTTTTCTGGACGCAGGATTTTTGTGATGCGCGCGCATGTCGACATAATTCTCGTCCATCAAAAGTGAGGGTGATAAGAGGGGAGCGATGACAGCTGGTAGAGAAGGCCGACACTGCCAGTCAAATCAATGCTCCCTCACATCCATATGAAATGGCCCCATATTTTCCGTTTCAGCACATGACTCACAAACCCCACTCACATTATCTTCAAGGCTCTCCCTGCTGCAGCAACGTAGGCATGATTGTGGCCTCCTTCCTTGATACGCGTGGCGAGGCACACGAGCACACCCGTGGCCTCCAGTGGCGCTCTGTCTTGGTCAGTTCAGCACATCGGATCGGAGGAGATTCTGAGGGCATCGTCTGCTCATGTGTGGCTGATCAATGTCCAGCACGTACACACACTGCTTGCATGTGACAGGTGTGCTGAGTAGCAGCTCCTCCACTCCCACCACGCGTGGCTGGGGAGGGCAAGGGGACGGAAAGGGGAGGGGAAGGGCAAGGGGAGAGGGGGGGAATGGTAGGAGGGGAGAGGGGAGGGGGGAGGGGGGAGGGGAGTGGGGAGGGGAGTGGCTACGTTGGCAGATTCGCGTTTCTCGTATAATGCGCAAGCGTATAAGCGCCAATCTCCAGTTGTCCCATTTGGAAATACGTGAAAATTCGCTGGAGCGGGCAGGGAAAAATGATTTCCTGCCAGGGGGGAAAAAGTGTAATAGGGTTGTGGCGTAGGGGAATAAGAAGACCCTTCCCCATGATTAAATCATCCATTTCGAACGATACAGATTTCCTTCAATCTCTTCGCTTATGTCCTACAATGTCCTACGATGGGTGGGGTTTGCATCAACGGCCTTGTAATTGTCACAAGATCCATGGACTGGCCATCCATTGTTGGACGCTGAGGGAGTGGTTCTCGCCTTGGTGTGCAACAACTCATGCTAAGGCTGCACTGGTTGAGCAGAGAAGTATGAATCCCAAGCCGAGAAAGACGGGCATGAATGAGCATTGCAAAATGACTGGAAGTGAGTTGCGGTCAAGTAAACAGTGGAGGGAAGGTTGGGTTTGAGAGGTTGAGGTGGATGGTGTGTGGTTGAGGGTGGGGTGGGGGTTGGAGTTCAAATACGTGAAATTGTAGACACGTGAGACACCAGGGGGGCGGGGATTGGAGGGGGATCGGAAAGGGAGGGAAGGGGATGGGGGTGGAGGGGAGGGAAAGGAGTGGGGAAGGGGAAGGGACGGGCAGGCGAAGGGAAAGGGGAGAGAAAGGGGAGGGAAAGGGGAGGGAAAGGTTAGGGGAAGGGAGGGAAAGAGGAAGCTGGGGGGAGGGGAAGGGGATACAGGGGGCATCCCAGCACCATGCATCCCAGCACCATGCATCCCAGCACCATGCCCCAACCCCGCGCAGTCCAGTTGTTTCCCAAAGAGGGCATCAACTCAGCGTGAACCGGCCCCTCACTGCCCCTGACTATGCAGCCCCCGACGATGCGGCCTGGCACTATGCTGACTGGCACCATGCAGGCCAAATGTTTCCCAATGAGGGCATCGGCTCGGCATGACCAGCCTGTCAACAATTTCAGGCCAAATGAAGCCCGCAAACATCCGATTTTATGACCAGGCACATATCATCTCCATCATAACGCGTGCCAGTGGTCTAGTGGTAGAATAGCACCCTGCCATGAGCTCGGTGCAGACCCGGGTTCGATTCCCGGCTGGCACAGGAAACCATTGTTGCTCGTTATGTTTTTTTTTCCCAGTCCAAAATTCAAGCTGTAACTTAAGAACTGCTGAACTTTCCACGTAACCTTCTCCATTTCTGTCACGCGTTTCACCTTCCTCCCCATCCCCCTAACCAGCGGTAACCATCTCCTCTCTCCCCGGGCCGTAAACCAGAACTGTTTTCAGTCAACCTACGTTCCCCCACCCTCATCATCCTCTTCTTCCTCTTACGCACAAGAGTGGAAGCTCACTGTTGGAGTGCAGCCAGTGGTGGAGGCTTCCCCTCTCCGCCAGCTCATACAACAGACCCGCCTGGTCGATCTCAATGCAGGACCCAGTAGCGCACTAGGATTAGGGTGGTTTGTATGGTTCACATTGCCCAGCACTAGTATCTCCGCCTGTGGTGGGAGGACAGGGAAAGGAATGGGTACGTGCAGTGCGGGGGGGGGGAAGGAAGGGGAATGGGAGGGTGGGAGAGAGGAGCACATCAGTGCAGTCCTCCATGCGTTACCCTAGCAGCCGCACTGTGAGACAGTAGATGCGCAGTGTGCAAGGAAGAAAGGAGCGAGAGGAGGTCGTGGGTGCCACACTTACCAATAGCGTTGTAACTCCCTTTATAGTCACTAGAAGGAATATATAAGAAACCTGTCAGGCATCTCAAAACGCAGTTGATGATACATTGATGGTTCAAAACACAAGGTGAGGGACCAAGGCTGCAGATTACTTCAACATTGTTCCCCCTTCCCCTCAAACCCCTTCCTCCATCCCTCTCCACCCCTCCCCCCTATTTCTTCCCTGTTCACCCCACAAATATACCTGCTAATATCACGCGTGTGAAGCACCTGTGCTGGCCCCTCTTCCGTTCCCTCAGCCCCCTTCTTCCCCCCCTCCCCCTTCTCCCCCCTCTTTAGCTCATTTGCCTCACTCCCTTGTACTTAAAACTCATTTACGCGCTCGCCTCTCACCAGGCAGACATCAAATGCCTTCACGCATTCCCCCACGCCCATCCCTCCCTTGCCTCACTCCTCCCTACTCACTCATTACGCTCTCGCCTCTCGCCAAGCTAAGTTCCTTTTCGCTGTCTGAGTGAGGCATCTTCCACCCCCCCTTTTCCGTTCCCTCAAGCCGTAACTCTTCCCCCTTCTCTCTCCCCGCTTAACTCACTCACTCTCCTCACGCCTTCCTACTCACTCCTTCCTTTCATTCGCCCCGCGCCAGAGAGTCAGGACTCATCAAACGATTTTTTAGGCGCCTCCAAAAGTCACGATTCATCAAAAGCCTTCACGCTGTCACTCAGTGAGAAGCACGTTTACGGCCACACAATTCCCCACGTCCATCCCTCCCTTGCCTCACTCCTCCCAACTCACTCATTCCGCTCTCGACTCTCACCAATCAGCCGTCAAGCGCCTTGACGCTGTCAGTATGAAGCACCTTCAGCGCCCCTCTCCCGAGCCCATCCACTTCCCTCTTCCTCCGTCTTTCCCCTCTTTTTTGCTCAATTCCCCACCCCCCCCCCTCCCTACTCATTCCTTCCTTTCACTCTCCCCTCACCGGGCAGTCATCAAACGCCTTCATGCTTTCCGTGTGAAGCACCTTCGCCGCCACCTCTCTCCTGCTGCCACGTACCAGCTCTCCCAGCCACTCGTCCACCTGTCCGTGGAAAATGGTTTTGAAGCTGCCCTTGACGCTTCTCACGGGTGGGCAAAGGCGCAACGGAGGGAGCCATCATGGCAGGAGTACTAACAAGCAGCATGCATTGCAACTGTTGCGGTCTCGACACATCTCTGTTGGACACGCCAGCACCTGCCGCCATCACCAACACCTCCTCTGTTCCTTCACTCCCTCCGACTTCTCTCCTCCTCAACTCTTTTCCTCCTTCTCTCTTCCTTCACCTCCTACTGCTTCCACTTCTCCCTTGTTTGTACCCTCTTCTGCTTCCTCCCCTATGGCTTGCCCCTCACAAAACCCTCAACTCTATCGCCTTTCTCTGTCTCCCTTTCTTTGGAGCAAGTTCTCACCAAATGCAACTTCTCCACTCCGTATCCCCATCTCTTGCTCTTGCAGCTAGCACAAGACAGGTGCTGTTGGCGTGGGGAGGGGAAGTGAGTGGGGGGAGAGTGGGTGGGGGGAAGGGCAAAGAGTAGGAACGCACAGCCGCATGAGGAGGGGGAGCGGAAAAGAGCTGATGATTTTGCATTTGGAGAAGTACTGCTGCTCACTCATATTTCCACTAGAAAATTCGCGTCAAAGGCAACATATTGGGAGCAAAGGACAGACGGACGACCAGCAAAATGGATGAATGAAGTACGAGAGATAGCGTGAACAAGAGATTCAGATTCCTGCACCTATTTGGCTTCTCTCACCTCCGTTTTGGCACGTTGCCCTTCCTGCCTTCAGCTGGAAAACCATTCGCACTCATGGCATGTGATGATGCCATGTGCGTGCACCTCTTACATATTTTTCCGTGCAACGAAAAGCCCCCTGCGTTCAGCATATGAGCAGCGTGCAGCTAATGCACTCGTACACGTAAGTCATATCACGTCTGCTGCTTCTCTCGTCACCCTCCATTCCTCCCTCCCTCCTCGTCTGCAGGCACCCACTTCTCGCATAAACGTACTCTCATCACGGCTCTGCCATGCTGCCAGGCCGTATGTGGCAGCGATGTGTTGGGCGCCTCATGACTTGTTGAGTGGAATGAACAGGTGGGATGGATACCGTGTCAGGTGGGTTTAAGCAGCAGCAACCTCCACTGCTGTGCGCTGCTCACATGCAGGGAGACACATGCGGTTCGAACCCATATCCTCGTGCTCACATGCAGGGAGACACAAGCAAGAAAAGGCACAAAGGTCTGTGAGTGAAGCGAGTGAAACAAGGCAGTGAAGCGAGTAAAAGTGGCAGTGAATCGAGCAGAAATAGGCACATGGGTATTTGAGTGAAGCGAACAAAAAGAGGCGCAAGGGTATGTGAGTGAAGCTAGCAAAAGGGCCACAATGGTATGTGATTGAAGCTAGCATTCAGGCAGTGAAACGAGCAAAAGTGGCAGTGAAACGAGCAAAAGTGGCAGTGAAACGAGCAAAAGTGGCAGTGAAACGAGCAAAAGTGGCAGTGAAACGAGCAAAAGTGGCAGTGAAACGAGCAAAAGTGGCAGTGAAACGAGCAAAAGTGGCAGTGAAACAAGGAAAAGGGGCAGAGAAACGAGCATAAGAGGCAGTGAAGCGAGCAAAAATAGGCACAAGGGTATGTGAGTGAAGCGAACAAAAGAGGGACAAGGGTATGTGAGTGAAGCGAACAAAAGAGGGACAAGGGTATGTGAGTGAAGCGAACAAAAGAGGGACAAGGGTATGTGAGTGAAGCGAACAAAAGAGGGACAAGGGTATGTGAGTGAAGCTAGCAAATTCAGGCACAAGAGTCTGCACCTGAAACAAGCACAAGGCCACAACGGGCTGTGGGCCAAAGCCTGCGGTGAGCGTGGATCGAACACGCGGCCTTCAGATCTTCAGTCTGACGCTCTCCCAACTGAGCTGTCCCCGCAAATCTGGAGATGCGGGGTATCGATCCCCGTACCTCTCGCATGCTAAGCGAGCGCTCTACCATCTGAGCTACATCCCCATTGGGGGCCATTTAGGACCCTTCAGGAGACGCAAATGAGGATGAAAGCGGCACAAGAGAGATTGGGAGAGTAAGGACGCGGCACCTGTTTTCATTTTACAAGGATCGTGGCCTCACATCGATCCTGGCATATCGATCGGCACACCGATGTGCCCACACTGCAAATTTGCAGTGGGGTAGACACATCGAGCTATAGGTGCCAGGTTCGAAATTGCAGGCTCGGGCAGGTTGGAGCTGCCATTACACTTAAACGCGCAGCCAATCAGGGCAGAGCGTGGATGGTCGTCCAGCAATTCCATTCGCAACGACTCAAGAATTTTTGGCCTGCGACCGTGGGCGACGCCGATCGATCGAGGCTGTCACCTGTGGCGCGATATGCTCTCCCGCCAACCCTAACGCATGCACCACGGCACATCGATCGTGCGAGCTGCAGGTGCCACCAATTTGGGTACCCGTTTACTGTACACTCTCGACGTTCAGCGAAAAAACGGATACCAGGCATTGGCGATGTCGCCAATACACTGTACAAGCGGCACATCGATCCCCCCCCACGATCGATCCTGGCAAAATGAAAACAGGTGCCGCGTCCTAAGAGAGCGGAGTAGGAGGGGAGGAGGGAGAGTAGAATGAAGAGGCAGCGGTGGCACCACAGCCAGGAGCAGAGTGAGAGTGCATAGCCACTGGTCAATGCAATGTGGCTCACCGGCTGGTTTCGATTCGATGAGCCTGAGGCTTGTTATGAAAAGGAGAGGTTGAAGCTTTGAGCAGGCAAGGACGAGCAGATGTCGGACCCCTCTTGCTGCTGTCTCTGTTCATTGGTGTGGTGGTGCGTGTTTGTGCTCACCCTGGCACCCGCCGTGCTGCTGCTGCTGCTGCTGCTGCTGCTGCTGCTGCTGCTACTTGTGCTGCTGTTGTTGCTGCTGCAAGTGCTTCTGCAACTGCTGATCTATTCATCTTCAATTCTACATTGCCCTGGAACACAGGAGAGGGATCGGAGAGAAGTGGAACGGAGGAGGATACCACGGGATGACATGAAAGCAGATAAAAGGGAACTGAAAACCTGAGAGCGACGTGACATGAGAGTGACCTGAGAGTGACTCGAGAGCGACCTGAGACTGACCTTAAAGTGACCTGCGACTGGCCTGAAAATGACCTGAGACTGACCTGAAAATGACCTGAGACTGACCTGAAAATGACCTGAGACTGACCTGAAAATGACCTGAGACTGACCTGAAAATGACCTGAGACTGACCTGAAAATGACCTGAGACTGACCTGAAAATGACCTGAGACTGACCTGAAAATGACCTGAGACTGACCTGAAAATGACCTGAGACTGACCTGAAAATGACCTGAGACTGACCTGAAAATGATCTGAGACCGACCTGAGACTGGCCTGAGACATTGCTCCACAGCCTCCGCCAGGCCCATCAGCAGCCCTCCCATCGGCGGCCCCTCCCAGTCCTTCGGATGACTCTCACATACATCATCCCCAGCATCCCACATCATCACGCCACAGCGGCGGCTCACAACCTCTCACACGTCGCCTCACACGTAACTTTTCTCATCCATCGACTTCAATCAATCCCCCTCTCCCCACTTCCTTTCAACCGCCTTCCTTTACCCATCCTTATCTTCACCATCCCTTTGCCCCACCTTCTTTCAACTCAACTTCGACCCCTCCCCCCTCCCCCACGTCTCTCCCATTCTCCCCCAATCTTCTTCTGAGTGAATCTCACATGCATCTCCACCCCTCAGAGCGTCGCTGCTTGCCGAGTGTGAGCGTATCAATGGGGCCAGCCCATCAACAGCCCCCTTTCACCAACCCTTCACCCCCCCGCCCGCCCTCCTCTCCATGCTCCCTACCGCCGCCATGGCTGCCGCCAATGCCTCTTGCACCACCATTGCCTCCCGCCCACCTTCGTCACATCAGCAGCATCTGCCTGGTTGAACAGTTCCTGGGCAGGCGTAACAGGGGAGGAAATTAGCTGACTTTTGAGTCGACTCAAAAAACATCAGCAGCATCTGCCTGGTTGAACAGTTCATGGGCAGGCGTAGCAGGGGAGGAAATTAGCTGACTTTTGAGTCGACTCAAAAAACATCAGCAGCATCTGCCTGGTTGAACAGTTCCTGGGCAGGCGTAGCAGGGGAGGGAATTTAGGACTAAAGAATGCGAGGCGTAAACAGCTTGCAGTGGATTGGTGGGTGGGCCTGAGACTGCAGGCATGAGGCAGCAGGCATGAGGCGGCAGGCATGAGGCGGCAGGCATGAGGCGGCAGGCATGAGGCGGCAGGCATCAGCGTGCATTGCCGGCACCAATGAGGCTGCATGTGGCAGCATCACCTCCAGGCAGCTTACAATTCATGGCTTCAGTGGCGACCTCTCTCATCCATAGCCCCTCCAACCTCACCCTGTCCCCTCCAGCCTTCCTCTCCCAAGTCACCGGGAAAACACCTGAGAGTGACCTGAGAGTCAAGTGTGAATGTGACCTGCTACTGACCCACTGGTGACCCATAATTAGCCCACGTTCCTCCCTCACTCCACGAATCCTTCCCTCCCTCCCGCTGCTTGTCCATGACAAAAAAACAAAAACGCTTCAGGGCTCCCAGCAGCCTGGCCCAGGCTGGCCTCACAGGCGACCCACTAGCGACTCTATAGTATCGTACAGCTCACTACTCCATCCACAGCCATACCATACCTCTCCCCTTAGCTTGTCTGTGAGCAACAACACCACCAAGGGGCACCCAGCAGCCCTGCACCTCTCGCACTACTCTGTCACGTCAGCAGTCTGCGGGTTTCCATGAACAGTGCGCCCCCACCCAGGTGCTGAGCTGGCAGGGGGGGGAGGAGGGGAGGGGCAGTGGGGGGAAGATGAAGCGGGGGCAGTGAAGGGCGAATGCTTTGGTGAACAGTGCAGCCGTTTTGTAGGGGCGGGAATTCGTGGGGCAGATGTAAGCGAATTTGTAGTGCAGTCAGCAGCTTGCAGGTTGCCCATGAACAGTGCGCCCGGGCCATAGGGGCAGAAATCCGTGAGTGGGGCGGGAGTGGGTGTAGGAGAAGCAGTTGAGGAGCTGGGGGGAAGGGTGGGGGTTTGGAAGATGAAGAAGATTAAGGCCAGGTATATATGGGCAAACGAGTCGAGTTTTTCCTCGACTCGTTCGAGGGACTCGAAAAGCTCGAGTTTCGAGTTTGTTTTTTTGTAAAAAAAACTCGGTTGCTCGAGTCGAGTTTTGCTCGCGAGTTGAAAAAACTCGTGAAAAACTCGGCTACCAAGCAAGTTTTTTCAAAACTCGCAAGTTTTTGGGGCTCGTGAGCATTTTGCCACCAGATCCGCCCGCGCCTAGCATTCCGCCGCTAGATCCGCCCGCACCTAGCATTCCGCCGCCAGATCCGGCCGCCCCTAGCATTCCGCCGCCAGATCTGGCCGCACCTAGCATTCCGCCGCCAGATCCGCCCGCACATAGCATTCCGCCATTAGATCCGCCCGCACCTAGCACTCCGCCGCCAGATCTGAACGCACATAGCATTCCGCCGCTAGATCCGCCCGCACCTAGCATTCCGCCGCCAGATCCGCCCGCACATAGCATTCCGCCGCTAGATCCGCCCGCACCTAGCATTCCGCCGCCATATCTGCCCGCACCTAGCATTCCGCCGCTAGATCCGCACCGCATTTCCTTTCACTAAACTGGTTTCGTGGGGTGGTGGGTAAGGGGGGTGTTTAACAACGAGTCGAGTTTTACTTGACTCGGACGAGATTTCTTTGAACTCGTCCGAGTGTTGAAAAAACTCGGTAAAATGGTCGAGTTTCGAGTTTGCTTTGTGGCACAAAAAACTTGGCGAGTTTTCCTCGACTCGACTCGTGTGTGACAAAAAACTCGTCAAAACGAGTCAAGTAAAACTCGACTCGTCTTTTGCCCATGTATAAGGCCGGGGAAGGGCGAATGCTTTGGTGAACATTGCACCCAGGAGGCGTTGAACCCGTGTGGGCCAGAAGGCGTTGAATCCGCGGGGGCAGGAATGTGGAGGTGCGGGGGGTGGGGAAGGGGACGGGAGAGCAGGGCGCAAGGGTAAGCAGGACAGTGGTTTATGGAAGAGGTAGGGGCGGGCGACAATGCTGTGGGGATGCGGTGACTCTTGAGTGGTCTCAAAAGTCACAACACAGTGGCTTATGGAAGAAAAGTACGGGCGACAATGCTGTGGGGGCGCGGTTCCGCACAGTGGGGCAGATGAGGGTGTAGGGAGGAGGTGCGAAGCTGGAAAGCGAGGGAAGGGTGGAGTGGAAAGGAGGGGAAAGGAGCAGTGGGATGCTAGAAGCTGACACAAAGAGCGGACCAAAGGTGCAAAACATTGCTAGAAGCCTGGGGGTGCTGAGTTTGGGGTGCTGAGCCTGCAGTTGCTGAGTCTGGGAGTGGGGAGCCTGAGGGTGCTGAGCCTGCGCGTGTGGAGTATGGAGGTGCTGAGCCTGGAGGTCATTCGGGTGCTTCGTCCCGGCGGGAGCCACTCTCTCCACAGCAGCTGCGCGAGTGGTTTGCTCGGCGCTGGAGCCGTGCTGCTAGAGCTAGTGGTGCTACGGGCACTGGAGGTCCTGCTGCTGTTGGAGCTGCTGGGGGTTCTGGAGCCGCTGGTCCCGGAGGTGCTAGTCCTGGAGGTACTGGAGCTGCTGGGCCTGGTGGTGCTGCTGGGGCTGGAGCTGGCGGTGCTGCTGGAGCGGGTGCTGCTGGAGCCACTGGAGCTGGCGCTCCTCGAGCTGCTGGGCCTTCTGGTGGTCCTGCTGGAGCTGGTGCTGCTTGAGGTGTTGGCGCTGGAGGTGCTGCTGGAGCCGGTGCTCCTGGGGGTGCTGGAGTTGGCGCTGCTGAGACAAGTGGCGAGTGAGTGCAGTGGGGCAGGCAGAAGTCGGCTAGAGTCATAGTTGCGGAGCTGGAGGGTACAGGGGAGGGAGCAGGGAAGAAGGAAAGAGAGCAATCGCATGGAGGAAAGTGAGCAGCAGTGAGGGTTTGTGCGGGAGACAAGTAAATGTAAGGACGACTAGGAACTCATGGGGTTTTGGCATGCGGGGGACAAGTGGGGGTGTGGGAGATGCAAGCACACAACTGGGGGGGATGCCTGCGCACACACATCTCCGGGGACGAGTCGCGGGACGAGCCATGACAGAGGTGGCGTGGTAGGCGATTGGGGTAAGGGGAGGGGTGAGGGGAAGGAGAAGAGAGGAGGGAGGGGCTGAGGGGACGGGAAGTGAGTAAGGAGACAGGGAGGGAAAGGATCAGGGGAGGGGAAAAAGGTAATGGAAGGGGAAGAAGGCAAGGGGAAAGGGAGAGGGTAGGGGGAGGGGGAGGGGAGGAGGTAAGGCGAAGGGGAGGGGGTGAGAGAGAGGTGGGTAAAGGGAGCGGAGGGGGTAAGTGAAAGGGGAGTGCATAAGGGTAAGGAGAGAGCGTAAGAGGAGGGTACGAGATGGTCCTGAGGTGTTGCCTTGGCAAGCAGTGTGGCGAGAGGGCATGGTAACAGGTTGCAGAATCAGAGCGGAGCTGGAGGGGCCAGGGATGAGCGGAGGGGTGGTAACGGAGGAATCGGGCCTGGGTGGGAAGAGAGAGTTGCAGGGTCTTTGGGAGGATCCGCCAAAACTCGCTCGGACCTCTATAGCCTCCGCCAGCCCCATCACCCCCCTTTCCGTCACTCCCCTTTCCGTCACTCCCCTTTCCGTCACCCCCCTTTCCGTCACCCCCCTTTCCGTCACTCCCCTTTCCGTCACCCCCCTTTCCGTCACCCCCCTTTCCGTCACTCCCCTTTCCGTCACCCCCCTTTCCGTCACTCCCCTTTCCGTCACCCCCCTTTCCGTCACTCCCCTTTCCGTCACCCCCCTTTCCGTCACTCCCCTTTCCGTCACCCCCCTTTCCGTCACTCCCCTTTCCGTCACCCCCCTTTCCGTCACTCCCCTTTCCGTCACCCCCCTTTCCGTCACTCCCCTTTCCGTCACCCCTTTCCGTCACCCCCTTTTCCGTCACTCCCCTTTCCGTCACCCCCTTTCCGTCACTCCCCTTTCCGTCACCCCCCTTTCCGTCACTCCCCTTTCCGTCACTCCCCTTTCCGTCACCCCCCTTTCCGTCACTCCCCTTTCCGTCACTCCCCTTTCCGTCACCCCCCTTTCCGTCACTCCCCTTTCCGTCACCCCCCTTTCCGTCACTCCCCTTTCCGTCACTCCCCTTTCCGTCACTCCCCTTTCCGTCACTCCCTCTCCGTCACTCCCTCTTCCTTTATTCCCCCTTCCGTCACTCCCCCTTCCGTCACTCCCCCTCCGTCATTCCCCCTTCCGTCACTCCCATTCGTCACTCCCATTTCCGTCACTCCCATTTCCGTCACTCCCCCTCCCTTCAACCCCCTTCTTCCACCGCCCCTCAACCCTCCTCCACCAGTCTTCTGACTGAACCTCACACGCATCATCGCCACGCCTCAGGGCGTCGTACCTTGGCGATTTCAAGCTTGTCGATTGCACGCCAGCCCAACAGCAGCCCCTTTCACCCTCCTTCCCCGGCCTCCTCCCCGCGCTCCCCACCGCCCGCAACTGCTGCCGCTAACGCCGCTTGCGCTGCTTGGCGGTGTCGCCGCTCTCAATAAGCACCACAAGCACCAAGAACAATTCTACGCCTGCACTTGCACGATCGAACTCCTCAAATTCATCATGTTGATGAAAAGAAGCGGGTTTCGGGGGGGAAGCGGAGGCAGCCATAGCCACGCTCATAGCTGGGGATCTTCGAAGACGCAATCTGGATGAAGCGGGACGGAGATGTAATTTCCTTACTCAACAAAAGCTGTGTTCCAATTGTATGAGTGAGCACGACATTTAAACTGACGGAAGGCCTAATGATAGATACTATGTACCTTCGGTGCTGCAGGTAAATGAGACCTGCATTTTCTTAGCAAGCAATCTCTGATGACAGATATCAGTTACTGCAGGGAGTAGCGCAGCACAAGCACCTGTTCTTCTGGCCAGCATTTTCTGAAACGGAAATGGGTGAGAGGGGGTGCGGGGTGGTGGGGTGGGAAAAGCAAGGGAAGGTGTACAAGGAAGCTGGGCAGGTGCACTGACGAAACTAGCATCCACGAATTCTGGGCAAGCTTTTCGGCAGGCTAACGCTCGCATGACCCCCTTCAAGGCCCTTGAGATGTGAGCGAAGGCTAACAGCATGTAACGGCGTTTCCTTTCTGTTTTCGCACAAAACGGTGATGCCGAAATTGAATCTGGTACACCATCAATCAAACTGAACGAACCGAACTTCTCGAGCCATAAAGAATGAATCCATCCTCTTGGATCATTTTTGCCGCCAGTTATTTTGGTTGTGACTTGAGCTCTTCATCCAGCGAGCGCCTTTGACGGAACAGCTTACCCGTCATCTATTAGGACGTGTTCAGCTCTCAAGTTCACACCTCATTCTTTGTAAAAGACGAGATATGAGATAGCCCTATCATCTTATCAACATTCCTTAGCAGCGAAAGCACATATGACGGACAAAGTTAGACTAGTGGCCAGCAAGTCCGTTTAACCTTACCTGGAGCCATGGCTTTTGAGGTTCGATTCCGCATTCTCGAATGCTTAATCCAACGCAGATCCCGCAACCATGATAGCAGCAACGGCAACCGTTTTGGCGATAATAAACCATCGGCCTCGTCCCACGTGGACGTCCGCGTCGCGGTCTCTCCCGAGGAGCCTCTCCGATCGGTCTTCACCCGCCTGTTCCAGTTGCACCTGCCCGATTGCTGCCTGCCGTGCGATGCACGTCAGGCGCCGCCGCGGCTGCGATTGGCGGAAACCAAGGACGAGTCTCTATGCGATGCACCCCAGGCACCGCCAGGAACCGAGGCGTCGCTGTGCGAGGCACGTCATGCGCGGCAGGGAGGCGACGACGGCGTGGAAGCCGCTGAGGACACTGACTCGGTGCGTGGGACGCAGGCAGTCCGGTTCATGGTTCTCGGTCAGGTGGTGTACCTCTCGCCTGACTGCACCGTGGAGCAAGCGAAGCTGAGACCAGGTTCCACCATCAAGGTGCTTCCCGTAAAGACAGTGACTGGTGGTGAAGAGGGGAAGGGCAAGGACGGGGATGATCAGAGCGTGAAGGCCCCTATAGCTCCACATGTTGCGATTGTGCCTCCGGTTGTTGCTTGTTGCTCCTGCTGTTGCGGTTGCTGCTGAGGTGCCTCCTTCTGCTACTGCTGCTGCTGCTGCTGCTGCTGCTGCTCTCCCTCCTGCTGCACCAATTGTTGCAGTTGTTGCTGCTCAAGCTGCTGAAGCTGCGGCTGCTCCACATACTGCTGCTGCTCCAATCACAAGTGCTGCTGCACCAATCACTGCTGCTGCTGCACCTAGAACTTCTACAGTCGATTACAGCAAGTGGGACCACATCGGCTCCAGCAGCGACGAGGAGGAGGGCGAGGAGGAGGGCGAGGAGGAGGGCGAGGAGGAGGGCAAGGAGGAGGGCAAGGAGGAGGGCGAGGAGGAGGGCGAGGAGGAGGGCGAGGAGGAGGGCAAGGAGGAGGGCAAGGAGGAGGGCGAGGAGGAGGGCGAGGAGGAGGGCGAGGAGGAGGGCGAGGAGGAGGGCGAGGAGGAGGGCGAGGAGGAGGGCGAGGAGGAGGGCAAGGACACGAAGCCGAGCGGAGATTTACCAGGGAGTGGCTCATCCTGCGGTGGGGGTCTTTCGGAATTCAAGGAGGAGATTTGGCGTGGTCGGCAGGAGGTATTGAGGCGGTGGAATTCTCACATGCAGGCGGTTACACAGAGCGCGGGGGGGATAGGGGGAATGGGAGCTCAGGAAGCACCGGGGAAGCCTCAAGTGCTGTGTCAGGCGGACATGGTTCATTACCTGGACGTGCATGGCTGGTGGGACGCGGCTGAGTGCGAGTGCTGCTTCAACCAAGTGGTTAGTCTTGGGGCAGAGCGTGCTCTCACCATGCAGAGCCTTGACCTCTTCCAATCGCTCCTGCACGTGGAGCAGCCTCGCGCCACCCCCCTTGCACACCTGGACGTGGTCAACAGGGGCGTGCTGGAGTATTCCTTTGAAGTCCCAGCGTTTGGGAAGCAAGAGGAGGAGGAGGAGCCTCTTGCGCAGTTCATGTGCAAGTGCACTCTTGCCCCGTTCGTCTGTGCGGAAGTGATGGTGCTCGAGTGGATGGCTGAGCCTCGTGTGGGCGTGCTCATGGACCTGGGGAGGATCAGATCCCGCCTGCCTGCAGGTTTGGCCATTCCTGCTGCATCTGCTCTGCCTCCTGCTGCTGCTGCTGTTGATTCCGCAGCGTGGTCCTGCTGCTGGCGTTACAGCAGCTGCTGGGCTGCCTACCGCCGTGCTGTCAGCTTCGCTGTCTTCCTCGTGCTTGTGGCGAGATGGCCGCGAATCGACACGCTATGGAAAGCTCATGTTTATATTGATGATCCGGTGTACCCAGCCTTGGTGGCCCAGCTGGGGGCGGGCAGGCAGGAGGAGCAGGACCATGCTGCGTCCATGCTGGTGCAGGTGGTGGGGGTGAAGGAGAGTGCTGATCTGCAGGAAGGGTTTGGGTTCTTCGTGCAGCATGTGCTGTCAATCAAGCTGCCTGGGAAAGGAGCACGCGGAGGGGAGGGGGGTAGGCGGGGGAAAGACCGGTGAGAAGGCGTCACATGGGGTTGATTCTGGGAAGCACGGAGGTGGGGAGGAGACAGCGAATATGGTAGAGGTCAAAGGGGTTGCTAGCAGGTGCGGGAGGGATAGGAAGGACTTGAAGTGGAGGGAGCATTTGAAGGGGCGTGTGTGGGAGAGGTATGTGGATGGCATGGCTTGGATTCTGGAGCATGGAGGAGGGGACGGGAGGGAGTTCCGGTGCAGCCACTGCAGTGAGGGGGGCAGCAGCAGCAGCAGCATAAGGAGTGGCAGCAGCAGCGGCAGCAGCAGCAGCAGCAGCAACAGCAGCAGCAGCACCGGTAGCAGGAATAGTGGCAAGGGTATTCCCAAGGGCATGTATGTGAGTGGCGTGGGTGCCACTGACTTCGCCCTGGCAGTCGCCTCAGTGCTCTCCAGGCCGGAGCACCGCAAGCTGGGAGCCATGTTCTTCGCAGGGTCCAATAGCACCAGCAGCAGCAGCATGGTGGAAGATGCTGCCATCACGGAGGCCAGGGGGAGGCTCACACAGCAGGGGCTGGCAACAGGGATGAAAGGGGGAGGGGCAAGAGGAGGAGGACTCAGGACAGCAGCAGCAGCGGCACCAACGAAAGGGCGTCCAGCTTCAAAGGCGGCTGCTGCCTCAGCCCGAGGCAGACCAACCCTCAGTAGTAGCAGTGGATCAACCGGCAGCGGTGGCACGTTCAATTCTTGTACCAAAGGATCCCGTGAGTCTTGCCTCGTGCCTGTCAACACAGACCCTACTCTTGGGCTGCTCACATATCGGGTTGCCTGCATCTTGCAGTGGCTTCGGATCTATGGCTCAGATTTCATCTCCTCCAAGAGCTGCTTCAAGGACCGCCCGCAGGGCAAGGTCCTGCTCATGCACCACCCGCTTCGTGATCTTCCGAGCCTGCTGGTCAGGTTCGGTGTTGTTCTCCCACCTCTAGATGGAAGCAACCGCTTTCCGGAGTGGGAGGAGTGGCCCGAGGGAGATGAAGCTGCTATGAAATTCCCTGACGACTCAAGTGCCAGATGTTTTGGCCTGGGCAGGGCGGATGGCAGGTAGGGTCGCAGGAACAGAGGGCATGTGCCAGCACGAGCAGCTGTTCCGGAAAGCTCCCACCAAAGGTGTCTCGCTCGGGGCTGAAACTGAAACCCGTCCAATGGTGCGGTGCAGGGCAGACGTGGACTTGATCCTGGAGTTCGCCAGTGTGCTCTTCGTGCGACCGGCATGTGCCGACTGCAGCCGCTGCATCACCATCTTCACCTCCCACGTCACTGTCGTCGCTTTCATCGCCACCTACGCCTTCCGCCCCGCTGCCGCCCTCGTCCACCGCTTCGTCTCTGTTTTCCCGCCGCACACGGATGAGTATCGCAACATTTTCACCAGCCTGCGGCTGCATGCTCCGTATGGCTGCGTGCGCGCGCTGCAGGAAGGGGTGGAGGAGGTACCCATCCTCTTCCTGCTCACCCTTGCCCTTCACCACTCCACGGCTCTCCTCCCGCAAAGTGGGGCTGAAGGGGAGCGGGATTCCAAGGCTGGTGGGGGCAGCAATGGGGCGAAAGACAAGGCGGGCAGGAGGAGTGCGAGGAATGGGGACAGTGGAGAGGGAGGGGAGGGTGGAGAGAGTGGGAGGGGTGAGGGTCACTCAGGGGGGAGGGGAGGGGAAGAGGGGTGAGTTGATGGGCTTATGGGATTGAGGTTATCATGGATAGAACTGCATGTCTGTACCCCTGCTGAATTAATACAACGGACCATTTGAGGGGTGAGGGTGATCGTGGGGATGTGTGGGAGGAGGTGCAGTCGTGGTTCGAGGTGGCAATGCTTCCTGCTGCAAGTACAGGGGCTGACAGGCCTGCATGCAGCGGCAGCCAGTCAAGGGAGTATGGTACTCCCGAGCACGCGGAGAGGGTGATGCAGGTGTCTCAGTGGTCTGCCGTGCCCAGATTCCGTGAAGACATGAAGCACCAGGATGGCCCTGCCATTGCCCTTGCTAGTATCTGCAGCAAGCGGAAGGGCAAGAAGGGGGAGGAGGTGGCTTATTTGAAGGCATGGCCAGGGGGAGTCAATCTGGTGGCATGTCTGGGAGAGATGCTGCTGAGGGAGCCGTGCTACCGCCCTGCCTCCCCTGCCGAGCCTCCCGCCCACCCTGCTGCTGCTGTGGCTTCTCATCCTGCTGCCTCTCCCACTCCTGCTGCCCGTCCCACCCACCCTGCTGCTGTAAATAACACCACTGCTACAGCGCCAAGCACAGCCGCCGCTGCTGTTGCTACTGCTTTCACTGCAGCTGCTGTGAGCAGCCCTGCACCAAGGATTGCTGCTGCTTCAAGGAACTCTGCCACAGCACCACCCTCCTCTGCTGCTGCATCCACTCCCGCTGCTCCTAGCATTGCTGCAGGAGCCGTTTCAAACACGAAACCCAATTCAAACGCACAAGGCTCCGGTCCTCTGTCTTTAGGGGGGCGTGTGTGTGGTGCTGCGGGGTGTGTAAGGGCGGAGGGTGACGGAGTGAAGCTGAGGAGGTGCAGTGGGTGCGGCAAGGTGGCGTATTGCAGCAGAGAGTGCCAAAAGGCGCACTGGCCCTCCCACAAGCTCACATGCCCTGGAAGGACCAACACGAAGAAGCGTGGGACGAGGAGTAAGGTGACGGGTAAAGTGAGTGGTAAGGTGAGTGGTAAGATGAGTGGTAAGGTGAGTGGTAAGGTGAGTGGTAAGGTGAGTGGTAAGGTGAGGAGGGGTAAGGTGAGGGGTAATGTGAGGGGTAAGGTGGGTGGTAAGGTGAGTGGTAAGGTGAGTGGTAAGGTGAGTGGTAAGGTGGGTGGTAAGGTGAGTGGAAAGGTGAGTGGTAAGGTGAGTGGAAAGGTGAGTGGTAAGGTGAGTGGAAAGGTGAGTGGTAAGGTGAGTGGTAAGGTGAGTGGAAAGGTGGGTGGTAAGGTGAATAGTAAGGTGATTAGGTGAGCTCTAAGGTGAGTGGTAAGGTAAGTAACAAGGTGATGGGTAAGGTGAGTGGTAAGGTGGGTGGTAAGGTGGGTGGTAAGGTGAGTGGTAAGGAGAGTGGTAAGGTGGGTGGTAAGGTGGGTGGTAAGGTGGGTGGTAAGGTGAGTGGTAAGGTGAGTGGTAAGGTGAGTGGTAAGGTGAGTGGTAAGGTGAGTGGTAAGGTGAGTGATAAGGTGAGTGATAAGGTGAGTGGTAAGGTGAGTGGAAAGGTGGGTGGTAAGGTGAATGGTAAGGTGAAAGGTGAGTGGAAAGGTGAGTGGTAAGGTGGATGGTAAGGTGAGTGGTAAGGTGGGTGGTAAGGTGAGTGGTAAGGTGAGTGGTAAGGTGGGTGGTAAGGTGAGTGGAAAGGTGAGTGGTAAGGTGAGTGGAAAGGTGAGTGGTAAGGTGAGTGGAAAGGTGAGTGGAAAGGTGAGTGGTAAGGTGAGTGGTAAGGTGAGTGGAAAGGTGGGTGGTAAGGTGAATGGTAAGGTGATTAGGTGAGCTCTAAGGTGAGTGGTAAGGTAAGTAACAAGGTGATGGGTAAGGTGAGTGGTAAGGTGGGTGGTAAGGTGAGTGGTAAGGTGAATGGTAAGGTGATTAGGTGAGCTCTAAGGTGAGTGGTAAGGTAAGTAACAAGGTGATGGGTAAGGTGAGTGGTAAGGTGGGTGGTAAGGTGGGTGGTAAGGTGGGTGGTAAGGTGGGTGGTAAGGTGAGTGGTAAGGAGAGTGGTAAGGTGGGTGGTAAGGTGGGTGGTAAGGTGAGTGGTAAGGTGGGTGGTAAGGTGGGTGGTAAGGTGGGTGGTAAGGTGAGTGGTAAGGAGAGTGGTAAGGTGGGTGGTAAGGTGAGTGGTAAGGTGGGTGGTAAGGTGAGTGGTAAGGTGAGTGGTAAGGTGAGTGGTAAGGTGAGTGGTAAGGTGAGTGGTAAGGTGAGTGGTAAGGTGAGTGGTAAGGTGAGTGGTAAGGTGAGTGGTAAGGTGAGTGGTAAGGTGAGTGGTAAGGTGAGTGGTAAGGTGAGTGGTAAGGTGAGTGGTAAGGTGAGTGGTAAGGTGAGTGGTAAGGTGGGTGGTAAGGTGAGTGGTAAGGTGGGTGGTAAGGTGAGTGGTAAGGTGAGTGGTAAGGTGAGTGGAAAGGTGAGTGGTAAGGTGGATGGTAAGGTGAGTGGTAAGGTGAGTGGTAAGGTGGGTGGTAAGGTGAGTGGTAAGGTGGGTGGTAAGGTGAGTGGTAAGGTGAGTGGTAAGGTGAGTGGAAAGGTGAGTGGTAAGGTGGATGGTAAGGTGAGTGGTAAGGTGGGTGGTAAGGTGAGTGGTAAGGTGAGTGGTAAGGTGGGTGGTAAGGTGAGTGGAAAGGTGAGTGGTAAGGTGAGTGGAAAGGTGAGTGGTAAGGTGAGTGGAAAGGTGAGTGGTAAGGTGAGAGGTAAGGTGAGTGGAAAGGTGGGTGGTAAGGTGAATGGTATGGTGATTAGGTGAGCTCTAAGGTGAGAGGTAAGGTAAGTAACAAGGTGATGGGTAAGGTGAGTGGTAAGGTGGGTGGTAAGGTGGGTGGTAAGGTGAGTGGTAAGGAGAATGGAAAGGTGAGTGGTAAGGTGAGTGGTAAGGTGAGTGGTAAGGTGAGTGGTAAGGTGAGTGGTAAGGTGGGTGGTAAGGTGAGTGGTAAGGTGGGTGGTAAGGTGAGTGGTAAGGTGGGTGGTAAGGTGAGTGGTAAGGTGGGTGGTAAGGTGAGTGGTAAGGTGGGTGGTAAGGTGAGTGGTAAGGTGGGTGGTAAGGTGAGTGGTAAGGTGAGTGGTAAGGTGAGTGGTAAGGTGGGTGGTAAGGTGAGTGGTAAGGTGGGTGGTAAGGTGAGTGGTAAGGTGAGTGGTAAGGTGAGTGGTAAGGTGAGTGGTAAGGTGAGTGGTAAGGTGAGTGGTAAGGTGAGTGGTAAGGTGAGTGGTAAGGTGAGTGGTAAGGTGGTGGTAAGGTGAGTGGTAAGGTGGGTGGTAAGGTGAGTGGTAAGGTGAGTGGTAAGGTGAGTGGTAAGGTGAGTGGTAAGGTGAGTGGTAAGGTGAGTGGTAAGGTGAGTGGTAAGGTGAGTGGTAAGGTGAGTGGTAAGGTGAGTGGTAAGGTGAGTGGTAAGATGAGTGGTAAGGTGAGTGGTAAGGTGAGTGGTAAGGTGAGTGGTAAGGTGAGTGGTAAGGTGAGTGGTAAGGTGAGTGGTAAGGTGAGTGGTAAGGTGAGTTGTAAGGTGAGTGGTAAGGTGAGTGGTAAGGTGAGTGGTAAGGTGAGTGGTAAGGTGAGTGGTAAGGTGAGTGGTAAGGTGAGTGGTAAGGTGAGTGGTAAGGTGAGTGGTAAGGTGAGTGGTAAGGTGAGTGGAAAGGTGGGTGGTAAGGTGAGTGGTAAGGTGAGTGGTAAGGTGAGTGGTAAGGTGAGTGGTAAGGTGCGTGGTAAGGTGAGTGGTAAGGTGAGTGGTAAGGTGAGTGGTAAGGTGAGTGGTAAGGTGAGTGGTAAGGTGAGTGGTAAGGTGGGTGGTAAGGTGGGTGGTAAGGTGAGTGGTAAGGAGAGTGGTAAGGTGGGTGGTAAGGTGGGTGGTAAGTGGTAAGGTGAGTGGTAAGGTGAGTGGTAAGGTGAGTGGTAAGGTGAGTGGTAAGGTGAGTGATAAGGTGAGTGGTAAGGTGAGTGGTAAGGTGAGTGGTAAGGTGAGTGGTAAGGTGAGTGGTAAGGTGAGTGGTAAGGTGAGTGGTAAGGTGAGTGGTAAGGTGGGTGGTAAGGTGAGTGGTAAGGTGGGTGGTAAGGTGAGTGGTAAGGTGAGTGGTAAGGTGAGTGGAAAGGTGAGTGGTAAGGTGGATGGTAAGGTGAGTGGTAAGGTGGGTGGTAAGGTGGGTGGTAAGGTGAGTGGAAAGGTGGGAGGTAAGGTGAGTGGAAAGGTGAGTGGTAAGGTGAGTGGAAAGGTGAGTGGTAAGGTGAGTGGAAAGGTGAGTGGTAAGGTGAGTGGTAAGGTGAATGGTAAGGTGATTAGGTGAGCTCTAAGGTGAGTGGTAAGGTAAGTAACAAGGTGATGGGTAAGGTGAGTGGTAAGGTGGGTGGTAAGGTGGGTGGTAAGGTGGGTGGTAAGGTGGGTGGTAAGGTGAGTGGTAAGGAGAGTGGTAAGGTGGGTGGTAAGGTGGGTGGTAAGGTGGGTGGTAAGGTGAGTGGTAAGGTGAGTGGTAAGGTGAGTGGTAAGGTGAGTAGTAAGGTGAGTGGTAAGGTGAGTGATAAGGTGAGAGATAAGGTGAGTGGTAAGGTGAGTGGAAAGGTGAGTGGTAAGGTGAATGGTAAGGTGAAAGGTGAGTGGAAAGGTGAGTGGTAAGGTGGGTGGTAAGGTGAGTGGTAAGGTGGGTGGTAAGGTGAGTGGTAAGGTGAGTGGTAAGGTGAGTGGTAAGGTGGGTGGTAAGGTGAGTGGTAAGGTGGGTGGTAAGGTGAGTGGTAAGGTGAGTGGTAAGGTGAGTGGTAAGGTGAGTGGTAAGGTGAGTGGTAAGGTGAGTGGTAAGGTGAGTGGTAAGGTGAGTGGTAAGGTGAGTGGTAAGGTGAGTGGTAAGGTGAGTGGTAAGGTGAGTGGTAAGGTGAGTGGTAAGGTGAGTGGTAAGGTGAGTGGTAAGGTGGGTGGTAAGGTGAGTGGTAAGGTGGGTGGTAAGGTGAGTGGTAAGGTGAGTGGTAAGGTGAGTGGAAAGGTGAGTGGTAAGGTGGATGGTAAGGTGAGTGGTAAGGTGGGTGGTAAGGTGGGTGGTAAGGTGAGTGGAAAGGTGGGAGGTAAGGTGAGTGGAAAGGTGAGTGGTAAGGTGAGTGGAAAGGTGAGTGGTAAGGTGAGTGGAAAGGTGAGTGGTAAGGTGAGTGGTAAGGTGAATGGTAAGGTGATTAGGTGAGCTCTAAGGTGAGTGGTAAGGTAAGTAACAAGGTGATGGGTAAGGTGAGTGGTAAGGTGGGTGGTAAGGTGGGTGGTAAGGTGGGTGGTAAGGTGGGTGGTAAGGTGAGTGGTAAGGAGAGTGGTAAGGTGGGTGGTAAGGTGGGTGGTAAGGTGGGTGGTAAGGTGAGTGGTAAGGTGAGTGGTAAGGTGAGTGGTAAGGTGAGTAGTAAGGTGAGTGGTAAGGTGAGTGATAAGGTGAGAGATAAGGTGAGTGGTAAGGTGAGTGGAAAGGTGAGTGGTAAGGTGAATGGTAAGGTGAAAGGTGAGTGGAAAGGTGAGTGGTAAGGTGGGTGGTAAGGTGAGTGGTAAGGTGGGTGGTAAGGTGAGTGGTAAGGTGAGTGGTAAGGTGAGTGGTAAGGTGGGTGGTAAGGTGAGTGGTAAGGTGGGTGGTAAGGTGAGTGGTAAGGTGAGTGGTAAGGTGAGTGGTAAGGTGAGTGGTAAGGTGAGTGGTAAGGTGAGTGGTAAGGTGAGTGGTAAGGTGAGTGGTAAGGTGAGTGGTAAGGTGAGTGGTAAGGTGAGTGGTAAGGTGAGTGGTAAGGTGAGTGGTAAGGTGAGTGGTAAGGTGAGTGGTAAGGTGAGTGGTAAGGTGAGTGGTAAGGTGAGTGGTAAGGTGAGTGGTAAGGTGAGTGGTAAGGTGAGTGGTAAGGTGAGTGGTAAGGTGAGTGGTAAGGTGAGTGGTAAGGTGAGTGGTAAGGTGAGTGGTAAGGTGAGTGGTAAGGTCAGTGGTAAGGTCAGTGGTAAGGTCAGTGGTAAGGTCAGTGGTAAGGTCAGTGGTAAGGTCAGTGGTAAGGTCAGTGGTAAGGTCAGTGGTAAGGTGAGTGGTAAGGTGAGTGGTAAGGTGAGTGGTAAGGTGGGTGGTAAGGTGGGTGGTAAGGTGAGTGGTAAGGTGAGTGGTAAGGTGAGTGGTAAGGTGAGTAGTAAGGTACGTGGTAAGGTGAGTGATAAGGTGAGAGATAAGGTGAGTGGTAAGGTGAGTGGAAAGGTGGGTGGTAAGGTGAATGGTAAGGTGAAAGGTGAGTGGAAAGGTGAGTGGTAAGGTGGGTGGTAAGGTGGGTGGTAAGGTGAGTGGTAAGGTGGGTGGTAAGGTGAGTGGTAAGGTGGGTGGTAAGGTGAGTGGTAAGGAGAGTGGTAAGGTGGGTGGTAAGGTGGGTGGTAAGGTGGGTGGTAAGGTGAGTGGTAAGGTGAGTGGTAAGGTGAGTGGTAAGGTGAGTAGTAAGGTACGTGGTAAGGTGAGTGATAAGGTGAGAGATAAGGTGAGTGGTAAGGTGAGTGGAAAGGTGGGTGGTAAGGTGAATGGTAAGGTGAAAGGTGAGTGGAAAGGTGAGTGGTAAGGTGGGTGGTAAGGTGAGTGGTAAGGTGGGTGGTAAGGTGAGTGGTAAGGTGAGTGGTAAGGTGAGTGGTAAGGTGGGTGGTAAGGTGAGTGGTAAGGTGGGTGGTAAGGTGAGTGGTAAGGTGAGTGGTAAGGTGAGTGGTAAGGTGAGTGGTAAGGTGAGTGGTAAGGTGAGTGGTAAGGTGAGTGGTAAGGTGAGTGGTAAGGTGAGTGGTAAGGTGAGTGGTAAGGTGAGTGGTAAGGTGAGTGGTAAGGTGAGTGGTAAGGTGAGTGGTAAGGTGAGTGGTAAGGTGAGTGGTAAGGTGAGTGGTAAGGTGAGTGGTAAGGTGAGTGGTAAGGTGAGTGGTAAGGTGAGTGGTAAGGTGAGTGGTAAGGTGAGTGGTAAGGTGAGTGGTAAGGTGAGTGGTAAGGTGAGTGGTAAGGTGAGTGGTAAGGTGAGTGGTAAGGTGAGTGGTAAGGTGAGTGGTAAGGTGAGTGGTAAGGTGAGTGGTAAGGTGAGTGGTAAGGTCAGTGGTAAGGTCAGTGGTAAGGTCAGTGGTAAGGTCAGTGGTAAGGTCAGTGGTAAGGTGAGTGGGTGATCAAAAGATGGGGGACCAATGGGAGGGGATGGTGAGGTGGGTGACAAATTAACCTGGGACTAACCAAGCCTGACCTGAGACTGACCAGCCACTGACCTGAGACAGACCTGAGACTGACCTGACACTGACCTGAGACCGACCTGAGACTGACAAGCTGCTGACTACAGGTTGCCAGTCAGCGTGCCAACGCCGTAGGGGAGAGGAAGGCCATGCGGAGGGATAGTGTGTTGGTATTCAGTGCGTCCACGCCCTGGGAGCAATTGTCCGTGCAACAAGCACAATGGGGAGTCGCTCTGGCGGTCTCTTCTTGTCCCTGCCATCATGCTCCATCCACGCCTCCAACGCTCTCAGCTGCTGCGAAAAGAAGATTTCGGATTAGCAGGCAAGAAGAGGGGAGACCCAAGGGAGAAGAAACCCAAAAGCACGGAGCACAAAAATGGTTGTGAAGCTCGATTAGCCACCCACCTGTGACCCACACGCGTCACTCACATGAATAACCCACCTAAGTCACCCACATGAGTCACGAACCCGATCCACCCACCTAAGACGGGATAGTTAGTAACATGAAAAGCGTGACGATGTTCGATTTTAGTTGATTAGCCTCTAGGTGAGGCAAGCCACGAATACTCCCCATCACCAGCTGCCATCATTTGAGCCCTAATCGAGGGGATAATCAAGTCTTGATTTATAATATGCTTAATGTCCATCGTGACAACCTTCCGAAACCCCCTTGGCATCTTGATGTTGTAACCCTCATAGAAAGACTTCTCCGAAAACTTTCTTGGTCCTGCGAGCCCCAACGGGCAGCTCAAATAATCCGGCCGCAACTTCAAAATTGCAGATGTACTTTCCAGCCCCAAATCATTCCCTATGTAGTCCTGAAAGCCCGCAGCAAGAGGCTGACTCAGCGAAATGTTGATCTCCCGATTCAACTTTTTTGTGACGGTGAAATTCTCGCAGTGCTTCCAGTCGAGGCCATAGTTGGTGGTGTTGACGGCGACAACGTCGATGAGATTGTCAGTTCCCAGCCCGCTGCATGCTCCCGTGACGTCAGCACCTGGCTGACCTGGCGGGTTACATGGCACGCCGCCATTGGCCGATGTTTCCTTGCAGACGTCCTTCATCCAAGGCCATAGCTGGATGTGACAATAACGAAGGGGGGGAAGAGAGAGAGAGAGAGGATATGGGAGGGAGATGGATTAGGGATGGGAGAGAGGAGAGGGTGGAGGGAGTGGGAGGTAACGGAAGGAACACAATAGCTGGGTGGAGGGAAGGGGAGATGAGGGAAAGAACACAATCACTTTCATTGCACACATGATCTGGAGGGGGGAACAAGGGGTGGAGGAGTGACCACTTGGTGAGTGCGACTTCACACTTGCTCAGAGTGTTACGCGCACTCACCCCTTGTGATCCTATCCGTGTTTTGGTGCTTCCCCTCGCATTAATAGTCGCATGCTGCACGCATTTGCCTTATCCGTTGCTGCACTCTCACCCACTGCCGACCCTCTGCTGGCTTACTCCCACACACCTGGTTGACGCGGTCGCTATGTGTGAGGCACGAGGCTTAGCGCCACCACAGGGGCACCAGATGCACATGCACACAGATACTCAGAGGGACGCCTCCCAGTAGTATGCAGCACACACGCACGTACCCGGTTGATGTGGTCGCTGCAGTAGTACTTCACTTCTTTTGCCTCCCAGTAGTCCCTTTCGGTACTTTTGAGGCGTCTCACATGTTGGATGCTAAGCCATGGCACTCACTTCCTGCTCTATGCTCACTTCCTGCTCTATGCTCACTTCCTGCTCTATGCTCACTTCCTGCTCTATGCTCACTTCCTGCTCAATGCTCACTTCCTGCTCTATGCTCACTTCCTGCTGTATGCTCACTTCCTGCTCTATGCTCACTTCCTGCTCTATGCTCACTTCCTGCTCTATGCTCACTTCCTGCTCTATGCTCACTTCCTGCTCTATGCTCACTTCCTGCTCTATGCTCACTTCCTGCTCTATGCTCACTTCCTGCTCTATGCTCACTTCCTGCTCTATGCTCACTTCCTGCTCTATGCTCACTTCCTGCTCTATGCTCACTTCCTGCTCTATGCTCACTTCCTGCTCTATGCTCACTTCCTGCTCTATGCTCACTTCCTGCTCTGCGCTCACTCACGCGGTTGATGCGGGCGCTGTTGTAGTACTTCACGCGCATGGCCTCCCAGTAGTTGCCCAGGTCTTTGAGGCAGTTGTTGACGGTCACTGTGAAGCACGACGTCCATCCCAGCGATCCCCGTGTGCCTTGCATCGCCACGTTCTCGATCACGTTCCTGCAGTGAACACGGGGGAGGAAGGGGGGGACGGCATTACAGGGCAGTACAGCATCCGGAGTTGATGTGCAAAGGGGACTGCTGAGGCAAACGAAAAGGGGGCCGTAAAGGGCGCAACTGAACATATAATTGCACAGCACGGATCTCCACAGTCCCTCCTCACCGCTTGCCGTTATTCACTTTCATGCCGTCATATGTATTCACGCACGCACCTCCCCTGACAAGCACGGCCGACGAGCAATGGTCTAGATAGTAGCAGTGGTCACCGTTGAACACGTAGTTGCACAGCGCCGAGTTCCCGGGACTGAACCAGTGCGTGTAGAAGTAGATCCCAGCCGAGTCGTGATCCCCGTTGAGATTCCTTCCAGAGGAAACCACAAGGTTGGAGTTGATGCGACTGAGCATGCACGCAAAGCTGTAATGCACGTCGGCACCGCACTTGATTCCAGCGAATATGAAGTCGTGCACGTAGTTGTTCCTGATGGTTACACCAACTGCTCCCCTGAGCAAGAGGATCGGAGTGTTCACCCCTGCAGTCAAGGGAAAGAAGGGGGGAAGAGTACAGAAAAGGAGAGTTCAGTCACTACGACAGTGGTAAATCCTTGCCGAGACTTGATCCCCGTTGTTAGAATAAACAAGGCTGGAGTTGATGCGAGTGAGCATGCAGTCACCGCTGCAATGCACATTGGCGCTGCAGCGCTGCAGTGAATCCCAACGATAACGTAGTTGTGAATGTACTTGTTGGTCATAGTGATGCCCACCGCCGCTCCCCTGTGCAAGACAGTCAGAGTGTTCACCCCTGCAGGCAACGGAAAGAGAGCGGAAGAGGGCGAAGCAAGAAGAGGGGGCAAATGGGGGGATTTGGCATAAGAAGGAGAGGGGGGAGGGGAGGGGTGCGGAGGGGAAATGACGAGATCAATTGGAGTTGATGCGAGTAAGCATGCATTCGTTGCTGTCATGCACGCCGACTTCCCGCAAAAACAATGGTCATGGATGTAGATGCTGGCGACTGCTATGCCCTCTGCTCCCCTGTGCAGCACAACGGGGGTGTTCACCCCTGCAGGCAAGGAAAGAGGGGGGGGTGGGTTAAGGGAAAAAGCGGGAAAGAGCATGGTGATGAGAAGATATAGCCATGGATGTTGTTGTTTGTTATTGCTGTGCCCACTGCTCCTCTGTGCAAGACCATGGGGCAGGAGGGCAGGGGGAGAGTGAGGATAAGGGGGCAATGGGGAGAGAGAGGTTAAGGGGCAGGGGGGACAGTGAGGACCATTCACTGACCTTCAATCTCATTGACTCTGGTTGACTCCCGTTGACTCTGGGAAGCATCCCACTCACTCACCGTACACCTCATTGTTGGAGATGACAATGCTGGATTTGAGAAGTCCCGGCCCGTACCCACACAGGGCCACTCGGATCACCCCAGGCGACTTGATAAAGGAAGCCACTCCGGTTTCCGAGAGTGAGTCCAGGCGCACGTCCATGCTGCGTAGCATGTCCACTCGCCCAAAGATGTTGCCCTGGGGGGGAGAGAGGTAGACGGGATAGGGGGTAGCTTGGAGGCATGCGGGAGCTTGAGACGACGTGTGGGATGAGAAAAAGAGAGAGAAACCACTCCAGTGAGCGTTAGTGAGTCCAGCCGCACGCGGCATGGCCATGCTCCATTGCACGCCCACTGGGCCAAAGACGGTGCTGTGAGGGGAAGAGAAGGAGAGGGAATGGGGATGAGAGTGGAGGCACGTGGAAAGATGAGGAGCTGGAAGACATGTGGGTGTGGGTGTGGGATGAGACGAGTTTATGCTGCTCCATCACCTCACCACCACGTCCACCGGAAGAATCCAGACAAGAGAACTTTTGTGAGTCTTGGCGCGTGCCTGTTCTTCTCTCCACGTAAACTGGGCCAAAGACGGTGCCCTGTGGAGGAGACGGGCTGGCAAGCGAGATGGGAGAGGGTGGAGAAGGGAAGCACGTGTGAGAGACATCTCGCTTCTATGCTTGCCTCAAACATGACAAAACAAACAAACACGCTTAAAAAACAAGACACGGATAAAATCATGAGTGACATGCGAAAGGAGCGCAACAAGCAGATGGAATGGAGGGACTCACCTTGTCAATCTGCACGCAATATGATCGATGGATCAAGACTGCGTCGCGGGGCACGCCACTCCTTGCCCATCTCTGCCACTCCTTGCCCAGCTCTGCCACTCCTTGCCCAGCTCTGCCACTCCTTGCCCAGCTCTGCCACTCCCTTGCCCACCTTTGCCACTCCTATGCCCAGTTAGTGGTGCTCTCTGTCACCGGCACGTGATATTTCATGTTCAGCAACACTCAACTCACCGCACGCAAGCATTCAAAGTTCGGGGAGGTGCATTCAGGAATGCCCTCCGTTACTAGCACCTTATAATTCACGTTCATCAACAGAGGTGTGGATAAACGACAAGGAAGGGAGAGTGAAAAGCAGGTACAAGGGAGGGGCTCACCTTGCCAATCTGCACGCCGTAGGACCGATGGATGGAAATGGCGGGGCAGGTGACGGCCTTGCCGAGCTCGGGCACGGTGGTGCAGTCGGGGCTGCTCTCCGTCACAGGCAGGCGATAGTTCACGTTCAGCGACATGACGTTACTCGTGTTCCACACGCGCAGCACCGGATACATAGGGTTACCACCCGTCAGCGTGTAACCGGGCCATTTTGCCAACATGAGTATCGTGCAAGGCTGCTGCCTCCCGAACAAAACCCCTTTAGGCAGCATCAAATCCTTCTGTAAATGCAGAATAACGGTGGCGGTGGGCGGGAGAGAGGCCCTGGCTGCGAAATCAGCGGCCGACTTGACTCGGACTATGAAGACTCTCTTGAGCCACATACTGCAGGGGCCTTTCGGGCGCTTCTGAGACAGCTGGTACCCTGCGGCTATAGTAGCCTGTTGCAGGGAGACTGGCCCGATGATCACCGTGCAATGCCTCCTCCTCCTCCCCTGGGCTTGCAGCGTGGCTGCTCCGGTTGTAGCAGCAGCAGTTGTGTAACCAGCTGTGGCAGCAGTTGTAGCAGCATTTGTAGCAGCAGCCCGTCCGAGAGGGAAGTCGAGGACAAAGGATTCGCCTGACGCAGCAGCGGCAGCCACAGCAGTGAAGAGCGGCGGGGGCTGACTGTCCCTCTCACGCTACTGCCGCACCGGCTCAGCCCGACGCAGCATGTCACGTTCGTCGTGACTGTATCCGTGGTTGGGAGTGTACTGGATGTGACTGTATTGAGATGGAGTTTGGCTGAAAGAATTGCCGTGTGGGCTGGTTGTGTGATAATGATGGTGGTGACCCATGCTTGATGCGTGGTGCCCCATTGATGCTGAGTGTTGCTCTGTGACTGTAACGGGGAAGGAGGAGGATGAGGGGGAGGGGGGAGTGTGGGGGAAGTGGGGCTGCGAAGAAAGGGAGAGGGAGTGTGATTGGCATGGAAACCCTTCGGTGGTAGCTGAAGCTGTTGCAAACAGAAATCGCATTGTTTTCTTTTGGTGCTTCTGATTCTATCAGCTGATCTTATGTTAGCTTGTTTTGGGTTTATATCTCACCATGCCTTGAAACGGGCGAAGTTGACCACTAATAGTAGTGGCTCGAAACGTGTCAGCATGCCTTATAACGCGTACCTCGTCATGCCGTATAACGCGCACCTCGCCATCCCTTGACGCGTACGTGACAATGCTTTGCAACGCGTACCTTTGCTATGGCTTCGAATGCGTACCTGGCCATGCCGTCACGGCGGTCCGCGAAGACAGGCCCGATATGACGGCGAAAATTCCGTAGATTGTGAAGGCATTACAGATTGTCATTCTCTCGGAGGCCGCAGCGCGACCAACTATTCTTCTTCCGGGCATCCGCAAGATTCCCGCAAGTCATGTCAGAATGTTATGCTCTAGCCTGTAGTGGGGTGCTCTATAGCGAGTACAACCCTTCTAGGGTTTGCTATTTGTATCCTCATTCTTGCTAGTGCAACCTCTCCCTTTTTGCCTAAACTTTCTCTTGCCTAGCTAGGGCTTTCCTAGCTATGGCTCCTAAGACTACTTCTGCCTACTACTTTCACAAGTCAGATAATGAACAATACGGTAGATTCCATGACGAAATCGACGCTACAATGGAAAATAAGTTAGACTTGAATGAAAAAGGAAGCCCGCAACTGCAGAAACCCTAACTGGCATGAATTGGGCAATTTCGCAAAACGCTACTAACGCAAGACGCTTACTACTACGACAATCAGTTGTCCAGAATGTTGCGTGGTTTACCATTTTACACGTTAGGGCAAAGTCAGGTTATACAATTCTCACGCGTTTACAGTTCTTGTTTTGTGGTTCAGGATGGTCCAGCAAGGCGAGAAGCGGTTCTCGCCTCGTACCGCTCTGCACTGTGTTGAAACAAAGTTAAACGCAGTAGGCGTACAGAAGGTTGTACAACCTGACTTCGCCCTATCTTAGAACAACGCCATAAAGGTATGCATTGGTGCAATACACGAAACATGGCTGACAAATGCTACCAGCAGAATTTTCTCGCTTGGGGTGTTTGGTGGAAAGAAGTGGCGACGTCGGCGTTGTTCGCCAGCACTTTTAACAAGAAAAATGACGGGATCAGGAAGGTCAGTCTCGGCTTCTTTATCCCGTCAGTTAGGGTTCGTTAGGGTCCGTCAAGCAGGTCAGCCCGCGAAATTCTTGCCGAGCCTATGATTCCGTCCGAACCAAACGGAATCATGTTGTCCTGTCGAACGCCCTCCTTTTCATTCATTTTGAATAGAATCGTGAAGGTAGGAAAGTGGGTCGGGAGCTTCCTCTATAGGCAAACGTGGTCCCGTTGCCATTCCATCGCCATTCACCCCCCCAAGCAGAATTGCCTTGGGCGATGTTCGGCAGCACAGGGGATCCACCGAGGGATGATGGGGGGGGATCGAAATTCTCAGCTAGGGTTTCTAGTTCGGGGTGGTCAACTCGGAGTCAACCAGCGTTGACTCCAAGTCGGGGGTCCAAGCGCAAGCGGAACCTTTGGGGGAAAAGGCGCGGATGAGCGACGCGGGAATTGGGGGCCCACGAAACTGCAGCTGCACGAAACGAAACTTCGCGAGCTGGACAGCTTTTCTTCTCCCTGCCTCATTTTACTGTTGCGATGGGATTGGGTATATCACTTCCCGAAAAAAATTAACACCATAAATTAAAATGGATGCCCTAAATGTCGTACTCACCCATTTGACCTTATTGAATACAACTGGATTAGGGATACATTTCCGATTTCCATTTTACCCATCAGTTTAGAGTGTGGGGTAAAATCATAAAACAATTTCGTGGTAGAGGGAATCCATTTTACATCCCTCGTGGGTGAGGCCACTCATGGGAGTGCAATTTGGATTCCCTGGGCACTAGGGCGGAATTTCTGCGCCATGGGGGAGTTTTGGGGGAGGATGCGGCGCGGGTTACAACCTAGCATGGTGTTCGCGTCGCGTTTTAGGCTTACGTTCGACTTTTTTTCACATTTTTCTAGCCTGACTGAAGTGTTTTGCCTGGTTCGTACTGGTCGAGCCTGGAGGCTCGCCATTTGGATCCCCCATCAAACCCCCTCCCCTGGCTGCCGAACACGCCTTGGAATGGCCATGGGATTGGAAGGATGTGGAGGGGGGGAACGGGGAATTGGAAGGTGGGGAGGGTGGTTCCTGATCCCGATGCCACCCTTCCCCTTTCTGGCGCGAAATTTCGCGATTTGGCCATTCCCCCCACACCTATTCGGCAGGTTCCTCCTCTGGTTCGTGATTCCACGGCTATTCCATGGCCTTTCTTTTTTTAGATGTGCTGGCGAACAGCGCCAGCATGACAGTTTCGTTTCGTGATAAGACGAAAGTTCGCGACTGGTGCACGAGTCTCGCGAATTATCATTTCGATGAAGCAAGGCAACATCAAGGAGGAAACTGGCGATGGTTTGTGGGGCCGTGGGAAGGTGTTGGAGGAGCAGCAAAAGTACTGTACACCTCAAACTAAAACGAACAAGCTTGTGCTCACCACTGTGGCAGGACACATAGTAGAGGAATATTACAATGGTGACAAAAAGCGCCTAGTGAAAAGAAATGCTACTCACACCACCTCGACGAAACTAGTACCAACGGCGGCGCCGTGTTCCTTCAGTGTCATCCGTACAATATTCCGCGCATCGTTTCCCCTCGGTTTTTCCCGGGCCGCCGTCTCTTTGCCTACCTTCCTAGAGATCGAATTACCGCGCCGCTGCTAAGTCACTTCAAGGGCCGCAGAAGTGTGATAGTCTAAGAAATCCTAAAAGAGGTAAGCTCCACTTTTAGTTTCCCCCAGTCAGCCCTCTGCATTGCGGGGGGGGGGGGAATGTGCAACTTTAGGTTACATACCGAGTCGCTACGAGGTCTGGACAACCTATGAACTAGCAGAGCCCCTTGACGCAGTCTTGTCCCACTCAGCGTTGTTGTCCCGGGCCCTTCCCGTGCTGCTTTTCCTCGCCATCGTTGATACACCCACGCTCTCACTTATCCGGGCTCTAGCCGACCTGCCCTGTGACCCACCGCAGCGTGTGACCAACCTAGGCGGTGACTGACCCAGCCCGTGAATGGTCTTGCCGTTACTGACCGAGCTTGCCTCACCTAGCCTGTGACTGACCTGGACATGTGCACAGGGCGACTCAAGTCTACTCTGAGTCGACTCGGCTCTGACCGACCCGAGTTAACTCGCGAATCGAGGTAGGAACGACAAGGCCGAGATAAGGGCTGGGACAAATATGAATGACAAGGCCGACAAGGAACGACTATTAACCAGATCAGGCCGAGATTGGACCACGAAAATGAGAGATTCAGTTGTTGAACGACACGTTGCTTGACACAGGTAAATGCCGGAGACAAGCTAGTCGAGTAGAGACTAGTCAGGTGTGCTGTTTCGAATCACCAACTAGGCGAGTGCCAACTTGACAAATGTCCAGCCGGGTCGAGCGATGCATTGTATGTCGAGCCGACTAGACTCAGCGTGACAAGAAATCAAGTGACCACCTGAGTCGATCGAGTCGAGTCAAAAATCTACTCGCGGCTCGTATGTAACCTCGCGTGCAGTTGACCTGGCCTGTGGCGGACCAACCTAGGCTGTTGTGAGTGACCCTGCCTATGACTAACCCTGCTTGTGTCTGTCCTAGCTATAAGTGACCCACCTGTGGCTATTGTAGCCTAGGACCAATCTTACTTGTGTCGAGCCAACCTTGTGCTTGACCTAGCCTGTGAGTGACCTAGCCTGTGAGTGACCTAGCCTGTGAGTGACCTAGCCTCTGAGTATCTCAGCCTCTGAGTGTCTTAGCCCCTGAGTGTCTTAGCCCCCAACTAACCTAGCCCCCAACTAAAGTCCCCACCCCAACTGACCTAGCCCCCAACTGACCTAGCCCCAACTGACCTAGCCCCCAACTGACCTAGCCCCAACTGACCTAGCCCCCAACTGACCTAGCCCCAACTGACCTAACCCCCAACTGACCTAGCCCCAACTGACCTAGCCCCCAACTGACCTAGCCCCAACTGACCTAACCCCCAACTGACCTAGCCTGTGAGTCTGTGAGTCTGGATTAGGGTAAAGAGAGCGGTTTTGAAATTCCTTCTGCGCAGAAGTCTTGTGTGGATACGACATGCCGCAGCGGCTATGCAAATGAGCTTGGGGCTATGTGCTCCTTTGCCTCGTAGAACGATGATCGCATATTCTCATTCACGTGCCATAGGAGCTACAGTGCCTCACCTTTCCCTCTTGCTTTCAACATCTCTCTCCATTTGCGTCTGCCTCTACTGACCTCTCTTCGCTCCACCTTTAACTAGTCCAGTGTTTCTCACTCCCTATCCACGTTTCAGACGGAATCTTCTCTGTGCTGAACTCAAGCATTGCTGAAAACTACCTGAACTGGTTGGGAGTGGATTGGGAAATGGCTGTAGAAAGGGAGGAGAATGAGCTTAGCGAGGCAGTTAGAGGGCTGTTTGCAACAGTGAGAGGGGAACTGGCAACAGTGAGGGAGGAGCTGGCAGTAGTGAAGGGGGAGGTGGCGGCAGCAGTGGCGGAGAAGGCGGCACAGGAGAGTGAACGAGGGTTGTTGTTCAGAGCAGGTGCGGTGTGGAGAATGCGGCGAATGAGTTGAGGCACTGGCCTTTGGCATTCGTTCACGTGATTATACGCCACCATTCTTATTCTCGTTTTGTCTCCATCCCTCTCCTCGTTAGCTCCTGTGCACACTGTGCACGACTGTCATCCCCCCTTCCCCACATCCCCCCCCTGCTGCCGCTTGTCCCCTACCCCACCTGCCTTACAGTCTGACTATCAGCTTGTTCTTTCGTGTGTGTGATTCCGCATGCTAGTCTCATCTCTACCCGTCTGTGCCCCATGCCTATGTTGTCCGCTTGTCTCGTCCTGTGCACTCAGTACAGAACCTATCTTTCCTGCCACAACCCCCCTCCCTCCTCTAATCCTGCTCCCTGAATTCATCCTCTCCTCCTGCTACACCTCACTGTGCAGGCGCACGCCCTGCATTGGGCTCGCCCCATCAGTCATGGCTCGGATGACTGCAGTGGCCATGCTGCTGCCAGCGCTGCTGCTCGCCCTCCTTCTTGCCACTGCCATCAGCATCACACCAATTGGCAGGCAGGGACGCTTCCTGTCATATGCCCGCGTATTTCCTAAACCTCACAAGACCGCATTGTTGCAATGTTTTGATGGGGTATGCATTCTCATCATTGGATGTTATCATCAGCAGCTGCCCTCACAGCTCTCCTGCTGCCCTCACAGCTCTCCTGCTGCCCTCACAGCTCTCCTGCTGCCCTCACAGCTCTCCTGCTGCCCTCACAGCTCTCTTGCTGCCCTCACAGCTCTCCTGCTGCCCTCACAGCTCTCCTGCTGCCCTCACAGCTCTCCTGCTGCCCTCACAGCTCTCCTGCTGCCCTCACAGCTCTCCTGCTGCCCTCACAGCTCTCCTGCTGCCCTCACAGCTCTCCTGCTGCCCTCACAGCTCTCCTGCTGCCCTCACAGCTCTCCTGCTGCCCTCACAGCTCTCCGTCTGCGTAAAGGTGAAAGCTCAAAGCTCAGTTCCACTACTCTTGACTTCCTCATCCTCTTAATGCTCCACTCACATCTTCTCTCCCCAAAAACTCCCATCCATGAGTTGCCGTGTGCCTGTGTTTCCATGTGCTGCCATGTGTAGGAAGCACGCCAATTTCCAAATGGAGAGAGTAAGTGGAGCTGTTGGGTCTGTCATGGCAATTATGGCCGGAACACACAAGCTGAAAGAGGCGATGGAGATGAGAATGAGGGCGCTTGGCATGTAGCTGGAAAAGACAAGGAAGGAGTTGGAGGAGGCTGAGAGGAAACGAGTGTCGCAGATGGGTGAGGTGAGAGGGCAGATGGAGGAGAGGGGGGAGGATTTGGCAGCAGTAAAGGGAGAGTTGGGTGCAGTGCAGGGGGAGCTGGCAGCTATGAAGAGGGATCTGGCTGAACACAAGGATGCTATGGCAGAGCAAGTGGAGGCTAGAAAGGAGTTGAGTGAGATCAGGGAAGAATTGGCAGCATTGAGAAGAGACTTGAGGAGGCAAAAGGACTTTCTGAAAAGTCAATTGGAAGAGGCTGAGAAAAGACACACAGAGAACTTCATAGAGCTGAGAGGACAGGTGGAGGAGAGGAAGAGGGAGTTGGAGAAGGCTGAGAGGAGACGAGTGGCGGAGATGGCCGTAGAATTGGCAGCAGTGAAGTGGGCGTTGGCTGGGCACAAGGATTCTATGATAGAGCAACTCTGTATGGCTGAGAGAAGAAGGGAATCTGGTTTGAAAGATCTAATTGAGGAGGTTAGAAAGAAAGAGGATGACATGAGAGCGGAGTTGGCAAGGGAGAGGGAGGAGAGGAGGAGGGAGGTGCAGGAGTTGAATTGGCCACGTGCCATGGAGGAATTGGCAGCCTGCAGGAGTTGAGTGAATGTTGAGATGGAAATTATCCGGAATGAAGTTGATTGGAAGACTGCATGGGAGGTGAGTGCTGAATGAACTGTTTTTCAGAGCAAGCATGATTTGCTGTTGTCTCGATGATCACTCCTTGCCATTCATTCTCTTTTGTATCCATCACCTCCAGCGAATCAAATCAGCATCACTAGGAACCCATCTGAGTCTGGCGAGTCTCGGCGGCCTCTCAGACGCCATGCTCGCCCATGTGTCCACAATGACCCACCTGAAGAGCATCGACTTGCGATCTACCTCAGGCTTCAGTGCAGAGGGCATGAAGCACCTGTACAGGCTGCCACAGCTGGAGACGCTAGACCTGCAATTTACAGATGTCTCAGACAGCGCCTTGGAAGGGATTGGGTCCTTGACCAATCTCGCGGAGCTCCATCTCTGGAAGACCAAGGTGACAAATGCCGGCATGGTGCATGTGGGGAGGCTGACAGGACTTGAGAAACTTCTTCTGGGTGGGATGGCAGTCACGGATGATGGGCTGCAGCAGCTGACTGCGCTGACCAAACTGGCGTTTCTCTTTCCGGCAGAAGGGGGTTACCTTATGTACGATGATGTTCGCAGGCGGATAGGCGGGTAGGGTGGCAGGGAGTGATGATGGAAAGAGAGGTGAGGTTGAGGGAAGAGTTGACTGTGACTGCAGGGAAGCTGGGGACAAGGACGAGCAAGAGAGCAGTGAGGGAAGCGAGCATAATGGATCAGCAGTAATGGAGGCGATCAGCAGTGGCTACAGCAGTGGCTACAGCAGTGGCCACAGTAGTGGCTGCAGAAGCAGTGGCAGCAGCAGTGGTGGCAGCAGTGGCAGCAGCAGTGGCGGCAGCAGTGGTGGCAGCAGTGGCTGCAGCAGTGGCAGCAGAGGTGACAGCAGCAGCAGCAGCAGCAGCAGCAGCAGCAGCAGCAGCAGCAGCAGCAGCAGCAGCAGCAGCAGCAGCAGCAGCAGCAGCAGCAGCAGCAGCAGCAGCAGCAGCAGCAGCAGCAGCAGCAGCAGCAGCAGCAGCAGCAGCAGCAGCAGCAGCAGCAGCAGCAGTGGGCTTGGGTTGAGATTAAGGGTGAGTAGTGTCTCGCATGGCTGCATGAGGGGAGCTGCATGAGAATTGATGTCTGTTTGGGTGCAGCGTGTACAAATGTATTCACAAAGGAGAGGGTATAGTGACAGAGTGATGGTGGGAAAAGGCGGATCAAGTGATACTGAGGAAGTCATAGACATTCAATGTGGATTGAATGGAGGTGTGTGCATGCTTGCGGCTGGGCATTGGGCAAGGCTTTGCCGGTGCACAGCTTTATAATAGTAGCAAAGTTGTGCCAACCTTAGATTGCAACGTTGTGTGAAACTGCGCAGGCTTTGCATGCAGGTTAGCTTCAAGTGCCGTAGTCTCGCTGGCCTGATGCTGTGTGCAAGCTAGAACATGCTCCACTTTGTCAAATTCAGAATGCTCTAACCTGTACTCATCATAATAAAAGTCCAATGCATTGGATTTGTATTAAACATAACCAACCTCCAAAAAGGAGGGCGAGGCATGTGTAGGGGGCGGGGGAAGGAGGAGCGAGGGGCAGCGTGAAATATAGCCCCGAGACAATCCAATGAGCAGCACAGAAGAAGGGCGAGAGGGGCATGTTGGGCAGAGTGCTCCTGATTGCCCCCCTTCTCCACAACTCTCGCATACCCTCTCCCCCTTCTCCACAACTCTCGCATACCCTCTCCCCCTTCTCCACAACTCTCGCATACCCTCTCCCCCTTCCCCCTTCTGCCCAAGTCCTACCTTATTTGCCATGGCCGCTGCCAATGCTGCTGCAGCAGCAGGCATGGAGAGCCTAAGTGGTTCAACTGAAATGCAGGAGGGCGAGTGGGGCATGGGGGGCGGGGCTGAGGGAGCAGATTGTCATGGTGCAGTTGCTGTGGGAGGGAGGCATGGGGTTGTCCGAGACTCTGAAGGTGCAATAGCGGTGATGATGCTGCTTGGTTGGGATCTGGGGGGAGCCGATCCGAGGGTGATGGTGGGCAGAGGAGGATGACGTGAGATGGGGATGAATAAATGGTTCATCTACAGAGTGAATGGCAATAAAGGAAAGACAGTTGACTCGGAAGCGGGTGTGATGGGTGAAGTGGAGGATGCGATGATTGAAACGGGGTGAGTGGAGAACTCAAGAAACTGGGAAGTGGGAGATGAGGTAGTACAAAGGGTATATGGCAGCGAGGGAGTGGTACAAACGATCGGGATGGAACGAGAGGGGGTCAGAACAACAGAGGGAGGTTGGAGGGCTGTGGGAAGGGGTGCGGGGGGTGCGGAGGAGGGGATTAGGACACGTACCTTCCCTCGACCGATCGTGCAATATTGATCCTCCACCACACTGAACTCCTGCTTGATAAATTTTACAACAAGCAGAACCTTCTCGAACCCCGCCAAATATCGATCCTGCGCAGGATCGATCGACGGAGGGGACGCGTCCTTGGGAGGTGGGGGAAAGGGAGAAATGTGAAGGTGGCTTGGAAGGAAGAAATGTGAAGGTGGCTTGGAAGGAAGAAATGTGAAGGTGGCTTGGAAGGAAGAAATGTGAAGGTGGCTTGGAAGGAAGAAATGTGAAGGTGGCTTGGAAGGAAGAGACGGGTACTGCAAGCGGATGGGAGGGGATTATTGCCGATAAAGCGAGTTGAAATAATGTTTGCATGTGAGAAAAACCCGTGTCTAGCAGGGGGAGGGGGGAGGCAGTGGGTTGGATTGTTGTGGAGATTCTGAAGTGAAGCAATCCAGTGGGTATGATGGTGGTGGTGGAGACACATGCCACTGCAGTGAGGGAATGTGTGTTACGAAGCGATTGCTACATAAAGGTGTGCATGCAAAATGATACTGTGAAGTGCTTGTTACAGTGGGAGGAGGGGGGACAACGAAATTGATTAAGCAAACTCAAGGTGAATGTTGGAAAAGCACCCCAACACAACATTGAGAATTGTACAGTTAAGCACATACTGACACAGTCTCACATCCATGACTTAAGTAAGGGGGGAAGATGTAGCAGCTTCAACGGTTTACGGATGAGATCTCAAGAGGACGATTCTATCTCGTCCATCATTCTGGTGGGGCAGGGTGTGGCAGGGTGTGGCAGGGTGTGGCAGGGGCACAGTGCCGTCAATCACTCACATCCTATGCACCTCCTCTCACCTTCGTGTTGGGCACCACCATTCGCCCCCCACAGTCAGCTGAGAGGTCCATGGCATTGATTCCAGCTGCGGCCTGCCATGATGCAGAGGTGCATGCACATGCACCCACCATGACGATGAGAGTGATGAGAGGGACTCGCGGTGACACACGAGCAGCACGCACAAGAATTGGTTGTTTGTGTTTCGCCATCCCTCTCCTCCCCAAATCCAAACGTGTGTGTGTCTGTACATCACAGAACGAGGGCCTTTCGAACCCTAGTAATAACGTCCTTTGCCCTGGCTCACAACCGCGAATGCTTTCATTGATGATGCTTTGAAGGAAGATGAGGGATGGACGGGAGATTGGTGTAGTCCCAGCTGGGATGCCCTGAGGAATGGCATGGTGATCATGCAGCTAATATACCTTGGTCCAGCCCGGTAGCAATCAGCTTCCTGCCTGCCTGGAACCAGGCCAGGAATACACCCTAAGTCAGGAACACACCCTAGGTAAAGAACACGCCCCAGGCCCGCGCAGGCAAGACTGTGGTGGATGTCGTGCTCATTGATGGCCGCCAGTATGTGCCTGCAGGACCTCTTCATTCTTCACACGCCTAAAGCCCGGCATGATCAGCGGGCTGTCAGAGTCACACTGTGGCTGCTGCCTCACACCTCTCGCCCTTGCCTCCCTCCCGTCCCCCTGACCCCACACACCACTGACTGGCTTCACCGCTATTAGTGCCGCTGCTGCTGCTGTCCGTGGCTCTGCCATGCTGCCCGGCTGTGTGCCACAGAAAGGAGTTGGCTCCTTAAGAGTAGTCCAGGGAAGGTGCTGTTGGTGTGGGAAGGGGAAGGGAGTGCTGGCGAGTGGGGAAGAAGGCAAAGGATGAAGGAACGTACTGCTGAGCGAGGAGAAGGAAGTGGAAGATAGCTGCTGATGGCACGCACACAGGAAAACAGTGCTCTCATTCATCCTCCCACCAGTAAACCGGCCCAGAAGCACCATGCTGGGAGCAGATGGGCGAAGGTACTAATGCTAAAGGAGTAAGCCAACAATGGACGGAACGAGAAGAAAGTTATTTACAACGTCACTCACCTCTATGTTGGCACGTCGCCCTACCCGTCAGCATGTGCTTGCTTGCATCTCGTAAAGCATAGATTCCTGCATGACCAACATGCAATGAGCAGTGTGCAGCTAACGCCCACTTACACGCCCACCTCGCTCTTCTCCCCCATGCCTGCGTGCACCACTTCTCGCACACTTACTCTCGTGGCTCTGCCATGCTGCCAGGCCGTGAGTCGCAGCGATAAGCTGGGCACGTCACTCATGGCTCACCTCCACGTTGGCACCATCGTCTGCCCAATGAGACGGCGCATATCATCCCACCCGTTCAGCCCGTGCCTCGCCCATAGCACAGCTGCTTCAGCCCTGCTGCTTTCACTTCAGTGCCTAGCCTGCACCTATAGACCTCATTTTCTACCCCTGCCTGTCTAACGCCTATTGTTCAACCTTGCTGGTTTACCCCGGTCTATCCATTTTAGTCTAGTAGCCATGCCAGCCATAGCAGCACCGTGCCATGGCAGCTCAAGCAGCAGCAACCTCCACTGCTGTGAGCTGCTCACATGCAGGCAGGCACACCTGTTGGACAGCATGGGTCAAGCAAGGAAGAAAAGGCAGAAAGGGTCTGTGAGTGAAGCGAGTGAAACGAGGCAGTGAAGCGAGTGAAACGAGGCAGTGAAGCGAGTGAAACGAGGCAGTGAAGCGAGTGAAACGAGGCAGTGAAGCGAGTGAAACGAGGCAGTGAAGCGAGTGAAACGAGGCAGTGAAGCGAGTGAAACGAGGCAGTGAAGCGAGTGAAACGAGGCAGTGAAGCGAGTGAAACGAGGCAGTGAAGCGAGTGAAACGAGGCAGTGAAGCGAGTGAAACGAGGCAGTGAAGCGAGTGAAACGAGGCAGTGAAGCGAGCAAAAGAGGCACAATGGTGTGTGAGTGAAGCCAAATTCAGGCACAAAAGTATGTGCGCAAGCACAATGGGCCACAATGGGCTGTGGACCAAGACCAACAAATGCGGTGAGCGTGGATCGAACACGCGACCTTCAGATCTTCAGTCTGACGCTCTCCCAACTGAGCTATCCCCGCAAATCTGGAGATGCGGGGTATCGATCCCCGTACCTCTCGCATGCTAAGCGAGCGCTCTACCATCTGAGCTACATCCCCGTTGAAGACCATTTAGGGCCCCTCACCAAAGCCTGGAATTGCTGGAGAGAGTAGGAGAGGATGAAAGTAGCATAGGAGAGGATGGGAGAGTAAGAGGGGGCAGAAGGAGGGGAGGAGGGAGAGTAGAATAAGGAGGCAGCAGTGGCACCGCAGCCAGCAGCAGAGTGAGAGTGCATAGCCACTGGTCAATGCAATGTGGCTCACCGGCTGGTTTCGATTCGATGAGCCTGAGGCTTGTTATGAAAAGGAGAGGTTGAAGCTTTGAGCAGTCAAGGACGAGCAGATGTCGGACCCCTCTTGCTGCTGTCTCTCTTCATTGGTGTGGTGGTGCGTGCTTGTGCTCACCCTGGCACCCGCGGTGGTGCGTGCTGGTGGTGCTGCTGCTACTGGAGCTGCATTTGCTGTTGCTGCTGGTGCTTCTGCAACTGCTCATCTTTCACCATTGTTCTGAAACACAGGAGAGGGATCGGAGAGATGTGGAAAGGAGGTGGATACTACGGAATGAAATGAAGGCAGATAAAAGGGTTATTGGATGGGCAGCAGGAGAAAGCGGTACGACAGCCCAGCAGAGCAGGGTCTAGAGGTGAATGTCAGTGAGGTGGGTGAGATAAAAGTGGGAGTGATGGGAAGAGAGGGGGGGGGGGGGGGGGGGGGTGCACGTGGCGATGTATTGACAACTTTGTAATGAAAGGCGGTGAGTGATTGGGGGATGGTTGCCAGTGGGAGTTGCAGGTGGGACAGCCCAAGAGGAACCAGTGGGGAATACGAGTGAGGCGGGTAAGCGAGAGTTGGTGAGTGATGGGAAGGGGAGCGGGGGGAGAAGGTAGCTATGTTGTAGTAGAATGTCGGTCCCAGTTAGTCCCGCTTGAACACCACGGAAGGCATGGAGCACACACAGAGTGCCTGGAAGAGGGAGAAAGGGCAAGAGAATGGGAGGTGGGAATAGGATGGGGAAGGGGGGGGAAGCGGAAAGGGGTTGGGAATGGGATGGGGATGAGATGGGGATGCGGATGGGAATAGGGATGGGGATGGGGATGGGATGGGGACAGGAATGGGGATGGGGATGGGATAGGGATGGGGATGGGGATGGGAATGGGGATGGGGATGGGATAGGGATGGGGATGGGGATGGGGATGAGGATGGGGATGGGGATGGGGATGGGGATGGGGATGGGGATGGGGATGGGGATGGGGATGGGGATGGGGATGGGGATGGGGATGAGGATGGGGATGGGGATGGGGATGAGGATGGGGATGGGGATGGGGATGGGTATGGGGATGGGGATGGGGATGGGGATGGGAATGGGGATGGGGATGGGGATGGGGATGGGGATGAGGATGGGGATGGGATGGGGATGGGGATGGGGATGGGGATGGGGATGAGGATGGGGATGGGGATGGGGATGGGGATGGGGATGGGGATGGGGGATGTGGATGGGGATGAGGATGGGGATGTGGATGGGATGGGGATGGGGATGGGGATGGGGATGGGGATGGGGATGGGGATGGGGATGGGGATGGGGAAGGCCCGGATGGGAATGGGGATGTGGAAGGGGAAGGGGACGGCGGGACAATGATGGAGAGTGAAGGTTGCTCTATGCTCACCGGGAGGGTGATCGGATGGATGGGGGCAGTAGGAGGGGCTGGTGAGACAGCCAGGAGGGGCCAGAGGGAAATGCCAGTGCAATGGGAAGGGCACGGGGGAAAGTGGCAATGTATAAGTAGCTTAGTTTGGAAACGCGCCGAGTGATTGTGGGAGGGGTCGCCAGTGGGAGGTGACGGGGAAAACACGAGGGGCCAGAGGGACATGCGAGTCAGGTGGGTGAAAGAGAAGTGGTGAGCAATGAGAAGGGGTTCTTTAAGGGGGGGAGGGAGGAGGGGGAGGGGGGGGGGGGGTGTTAGAAGGAGAGACGTTCTAGACTGCCCCTGTTAGTTCCACGACAGGGAATTCACAGGGCATGCACCATGCACAGAGTATCAGCACCTTGAACACACCACTGCGAAGCATTCAGATGGGGCGCATTCAGCTTTCAGTTGGGCGGCATTCAGCTGGGCGGCATTCAGCTGGGCGGCATTCAGCTGGGCGGCATTCAGCTGGGCGGCATTCAGCTGTACGGCATTCAGCTGGGCAGCAACCAGCCTCTGACGAATCAGCTACCGTTCACGGCCAGAAAATCCCGAAACACAGCTGAATCACCTGAGAGCGACCTGAGAGCGACCTGGGAATCACCTGGAAATGACCTGGGAGTGACCTAAGAGTGACCTGAGAGCGACCTGAGAGCGACCTGGGAATTACCTGGGAATGACCTGGGAGTGATCTGAGAGTGACTTGAGAGTGACCTGAGAGTAATGAGATGAGATAAAGGGGCTGCCTCCACCATGACATCAAAAGGGTGGGCACAAGAGGCAGAGCCAATAGCAGTGGTGGCGCGCCAGGGGGCAAATGAGAGCACAGACCTGATTGGGTAGAGGCAGGTTCGATACAAGGCACTACTCACCTCAGTGTAGAGGTGAGTGATTGTTGATCGGCATGTCAGTGCAAAGATGGCAGGGGATGGACCGGACGCTGTTGGCTGCACCATGCACACCTGGTGGGTGATAAGAGGAAGGGTTTGTTTTGCCTGTGTTTGCATCTTCCTTTGTAACACCCACCTGATTAATGCAAGGTCCATTCAAGAGAGACCAGTGTGAGCAGATTGATGGACGCTATTGGCTACAGTATGCACTTGGGGAAGGGGGGATCGCTATGAGGATGGGGATGGGCAAGTGGAATGGCATACAGGCACAGGGCATGCGAATTCATGGCATTCAGAAGAGGAGGCACCTTGAAAAACACCACCACATTCATGGCATTAAGACTCTCGCGGATCAGGCTGAAACACAGCTGAATTACCTGACAGTCACCTGACTGACCTGAGAGTGACCTGAGGGTGACCTACTACTGACCTGAGCTGAGACTGACCCATAGGTGACCCACCTTCCTCGCACTACCCACACACACCTCCTTCACCCACCAGTGACCATTAGCAGTGAGCAGCAGTAGTGACCCATGACAGCCCACCTCCTTCCTCGCCTAATGCACCTCCTCTCCTCCTACCTCAGCTCATCCTTGCAGAACAACACCGCCACGAGACACCCAGTAGCCCGCAACACTCATGCACCTCCGCCACGTGAGCAGCCCGTAGGGTGCCTGTGAATGAACAGTGCTCCCACGCTGGAAGGGTTGGAGTCCATGTGGGGCAGAATGTAGGAGTCGGTGCAGGAGAAGCAGGTGTGCAGCTGGTGGGAATGGGAATGGGAGAGGAGAGAGGGAGAGGAAGTGAACAGCACAGTAGTGTATGAGAGGAGTACGGGAGACAGTGCCGTGGGGGCGCGGGTCCGAGCAGTGGGGCAGAAGTCAGTGTTGGAGAAGCAGGTGCGGCGCTGGATAGCGCTGATGCTTGTATCGCTTTTGAGAATTCTCAAGACAGTACGAAACGAAGGGTGGACCAAAGGTGGGAAACAATACTGGAAGCTGAGAGAAGTGGCGAGAGTGGGTGCATTGAGTGCATTGAGTGCAGTGGGGCAGGCAGAAGACAACTAGGAGTAACAGGCGCGGAGCTGGGGTGGAATGGGGCGGAACGAATAGGGAGAGGGAGGGAGCGGGGAAGGAGGAAACAAACGGAGCGACAGCATGGTGCGACAGTTAGCATGAGGGTTTGGGCGGGCAGGAGCAGCCAGTAAGGACTTTGGGGAAACGACGGGCTCAGCTGGGACGGGCTCAGAATAATTATTCTAATTACGACTCGGAATCCGTTCGGGTTCGGGGCAGGTGGACGACAAGTGGGCGAGTAGGAGACACAGGCACACGGCTGAGCGGGCAATCACTACGTTTCCGTCAGCGGAGCCGCTGGCAGTGGAACAGCGACGGGTGCGAGGCATCATGCCGGCGAGGTGCGGTGCGATCCTCGGCCGTCTTGACACCAGCGGGTGACGTGATGCCCCCACTCGCAAATCGCAGGCCCAGCCACGCGTGTATTCAACGGGAACGAGTCCCAAGACGGGTCGTATTGTATAGTGCAATTTCTCCTCCGCTCCTCCCCCCCCAAAATAAGGGGTCGACTCACCATCGCCATTGCCATTGCAAAGCATTCGCCGAACAGCCATCACTCCAGTCTCGAGGCCCCCTCCTACCTGGTCTACCCCCCCATGACGCCACTCTTGAAAAGTTCCATCCTCCGTCCCCTCGGTGTCAGCATTCCGCTCCTTCCGTTCTTGATCGTCACGTTAGGTGAGGGGAGCATCCAACTTTCCCACGCCTTGCTGTGCTCCCTCACGCGGCAATACAGCTCGTTGGTGCAGGGGCCTTCCTACCCCTTCTCTTCTCGTCCTTTCCTTCCGCAGCTCGCCTCCACCAAGCAGGTGTCCCCCCGTCACCCGCGTGTGCCAGCCAGATCCGATGCAGCCTGCTCACATGCTCGCGCCTCACAATGCCCCAGCCCCACCTGCTTGTGCCCCTGCCTTGTCTCGCTCCTGTCGGCCCCTTCCCGTCTGTCTGCCCCCCACCTTCGCTTCGCCAGCCTCTCGTCAGCTCCAGTCGCTGCACCACTCCTGACCCTGCTGCACCCCACGTCAGCACCCAGTGGCGCTTCGGCTGCTGCCTCAACGTGTCTTTGAATTAGCTACATCCAATCCCTTGGCTCCTGTCCGCCATGCACCTGCAGCACCTGCACCTACGTCTACAGTCTAGTCTACCCCTGTCCCGTTTCTCAACTTGTCCCCGTGCTTTCACCCGCCACTGCCTCCTCGCATATCTGCCACACCTGCTGCAGCACGTAGCTTCACTGCACCTTAGTTGGCCTCTTGTCAGCTCCAAACACACCACCCGACTCTCTGCTGCAGCCCAGCTGCAGCCGACACTTGGGCTGCGCTACTGCTGCTACTACTTCTGCTGATCGCAGGGATCCTAGCACTTGCCACTGCCGACGCACTCCGTCATGGCACTGGGAAAGAGCAATCCGGAGAACAGAGGGGGGGTTCAGGAGGGGGAGCGGGGTGTGTGTGGGGGAGAGGGGGAGAGGGGAGGGTGTCGGCTGTGGGGGAGAGGGGGAGAGGGGAGGGTGTCGGGTGTGGGGGAGAGGGGGAGAGGGGAGGGTGTCGGGTGTGGGGGAGAGGGGGAGAGGGGAGGGTGTCGGGTGTGGGGGAGAGGGGGAGGGGGGAGGGTGTCGGGTGTGGGGGAGAGGGGGAGGGGGGAGGGTGGCGGGTGTGGGGGAGAGGGGGAGAGGGGAGGGTGTCGGGTGTGGGGGAGAGGGGGAGGGGGGAGGGTGTCGGGTGTGGGGGAGAGGGGGAGGGGGGAGGGTGGCGGGTGTGGGGGAGAGGGGGAGAGGGGAGGGTGTCGGGTGTGGGGGAGAGGGGGAGAGGGGAGGGTGTCAGGTGTGGGGGAGAGGGGGAGAGGGGAGGGTGTCGGGTGTGGGGGAGAGGGGGAGAGGGGAGGGTGTCGGGTGTGGGGGAGAGGGGGAGAGGGGAGGGTGTCGGGTGTGGGGGAGAGGGGGAGAGGGGAGGGTGTCGGGTGTGGGGGAGAGGGGGAGGGGGGAGGGTGTCGGGTGTGGGGGAGAGGGGGAGGGGGGAGGGTGGCGGGTGTGGGGGAGAGGGGGAGAGGGGAGGGTGTCGGGTGTGGGGGAGAGGGGGAGGGGGGAGGGTGTCGGGTGTGGGGGAGAGGGGGAGAGGGGAAGGTGTCGGGTGTGGGGAGAGGGGGAGAGGGGAGGGTGTCGGGTGTGGGGAAGAGGGGGAGGGGGGAGGGTGTCGGGTGTGGGGAGAGGGGGAGAGGGGAGGGTGTCGGGTGTGGGGGAGAGGGGGAGAGGGGAGGGTATCGGGTGTGGGGGAGGGGAACAGAGCCCCACCGTCCGTGTCGCTGTGGCATAGGCCCCATATGTCACATCTACGGGAGGCAGCGAGGCGTAGGGTCGTGCGGGCCAGGGAGGGCGTCGCAGGGTGAGGCAATGCGCTTCCTTACCGCAGGCGTTGGGAAAGCGCATTCGCAAGAGGTGCGGTGGGTGAGAGCCCTGAAAGCTCAGAAAGGAGAGATTGAGGAAGGGGAATCGCAGGTTTTGAGTCGACTCAAAAGAGGAAGGGGAATCGCAGGCAAAAGTGCGAGGTGAGCTGATCGTGTCAAATCAAACCCCACGCCGCAATATTGCTCGCTTCAAATTGGAAGCCGCTTCCCCCTTCCCCCTGCGCTTTTGCGAAACTACCAGTAAACCCCTACCAGTAAACCCCCCATTTCATACGTCCTTCTCCCCGCTCCCGCCTCGCCTTCTCCTGCCATCGCCTATGCACCCCTACTCGCTCCTGAGCATGCTGCTGCTCTCTCTATGCGGTCAACTCGTGAACGCCACCACCCTGCCCCGTGCTGCTCATTAATGCGGACAGGGGAGGTGACACACTCCCACGGTACTGATCTGCATGGAAACCGGCGTGTGTAGCTTTCGCAAATGCGAAGCGTCGCATGACGCCAAAACATTCCATGTCGGAGGCGATCGCAAGCGGTGTAGGGGTAGCTCAAGGGGCACGCCCTGCCTCTCTTTGAACGCCAGCTGTTTCTAGAGCACATCAAACGGAACGCCACGACGCTATTCCAAGATAAGCGCGGTCTGCTCTTGCGAGAGAGATTTCGCTTGCACGAGTAGCAACGCCGACGCCGCTCACCGTGTTTGGCGCATTTCAGCAGTAGCTGGCAGTACGCCGTCGCGTCCGACGTGGACAGCTTGGCGACACTCGCACGCCGTTTCGAATCTTACAGTAACTAAATTGTGCCGAGAAGCAGAGGGCCTTCCAAGGAGACGAGAGGAGCAGGTGCGCGGGGGTTGAATGGACTAAGCAGCCAGACTCCGGCTGTTGAGAACACAGTCAGCACTCGCAACGGGTTTCAGATAGGCGCGAGTCGAAATCCACCCGCTAATGACACCGTCGCCCATAGGAAGAAGCATTAGGGATGGCGGGCAGAAGTATTAGTGCTATGACTGACTCAACTCATACGGGATCCGGGTGACTGGGAAAAAAACGACGTCCCTCCCGAGACGCTATCCTTCATGATTACGTCACAGCATAGCTACAAAAGAAGGGGAGGAATGAATCATGGCCAATTAAAAGCACATTTCGTTGGAGGAGCAAGAAATTGGCAGGTACTATTTGCCGTAGCTCTTTCTGATGCCTGCTGCTGTCAATTGCGCATTCGACCTTCTCGCGATGGCGGCAGCGGCGGCGTTGCACCGAAGGATTGCGCGATGGTGAGGAGAGGAGAAGGATGGGGCGGGGGAGGAGGTGCGAGAGTGATGTTGCTTGTTTCGAAATGGTGGTTACTTGTCTCGCCTTGGTTCATCGTGAACCTCGCACCCGCAAATGTGGACCAATTGTGCTTAGTTCGTCGTTGAACGAAACCGTATTACGCGAGAGAGTTTCGCTGGTATTTCCTTGGACCACTTTAGGTTTCGAAGCACATAAATTGAAGCGAAACCAACGGCAGCGAAATCAAGAAACAGATACCCTATCGCAGCAAAACCACTTAGGTTCGACAACGGGTAACCCTCTCCTATACCCGACAGAGTATCCGCCGTTGTGTGATCGCGCTACCTTCCCTCACGCAGCAAAACCATTTTGGTGTTGCTTGTGTTGCGTACAAGGGAAGGCAGCGCGATGATGACCTCTCACGCCACGAGTAACGTCACAATAGTTTCAGGCCTCGTTCAAACTCAGTCTAGACTTCAAGGTCGCTGCATTCCGTTCTTCTATAGATCCTTAGTAATCTCGTTTGCTAGGGAAATGATGGAGACAGCGACACATATTAACGACCTTCCCAACGACGTCCTCGCTAGGATTCTATGGCATTGTGAAGAGTCAACACCTCGAAAATCCGACAGTGACGCGTTATGGTCTCGGCATTCATTGTCGGAGAAGCCACTGTACCTTCATTCGATCGTTTTAGACGAAGATTTCAGCCCTGACGAAGAGACGTATCCAGTATCGTCCCCCTCCGCCGGTCCAAGCGCTGCCAAGATCTTCCTTATGTCGTCTGTGTGCCGTCGCTGGCGCGATGTAGCTCACCGTGACGTCTCCACGCTGCTCGTCGAACGAAAGCATGTCATTGCCCTCCAAGAACTCTCAGATGCCGTCGCGTGCTTCCCTAATCTCAACCATCTCCATCTGTGCGATTACAGCGTGGAAACCCTTGACGACACCTTCCTCAATCACCTCGCATCAGCGTGTCCTAAGCTCACGATTCTTCACGTGGGGCGCGAAATCGCTCACCATCCGGACTATGTTGGACCGAAGCATAAGCGCCCCATCACCGAAGCTGGCCTGGATCGCTTCTTCCAGCGATGCACCCAGCTGGAGCAGCTTTCACTGCTCTGCCTCCATCGGGACGTCCACCTACCCGCTTCCTTCTTCCACCTCACGCGTCTACACACCCTGGCTTTAACAGCCGCCTCCGCCTTAGAAGCTCCAGATCTGGACAGCCTCGCTTCTCTCACCACTCTCCATATCGCCTCCCCGGAGTTGAACCAGGAGCAGCTGGCCAACGTGCGTCGTCTTCCCAACATCACCAGCCTTTCACTCTCTGCCGAGACCTCGTTTTCTCCTCATGGCTCGGCTGCCTTAGCCATCGCACAGCTGCCGTTGATCAAATCGTTGGACACTCGCCACGTGTTGTTGTCGGATTGGCCAGTGACAAGTCTTGAACGGCTGCAGATATCATATTGCGGAGATTTGAAGCGGTTTCCGGACAGCATTGCGGAGTTGCTGCCGCGTCTGCGTGAGCTGACCGTTTCCAGGTGCGAGGCCTTTGAGGAGCTGCCCGAGGGTTTCTGCTCCCTGGAGCACCTCGAGACCTTGTCAGTCATCGAATGCGACTTCGAATTTCGCAGCCTGCCTGAAAACATCGGGAGATTGACTGCCCTGAAAACTTTGGTTCTGGATCATCTGCCGCTGGCGAGCCTGCCTGCCTCCGTTTGCCAGCTCAGCTCCCTGGAGACCTTCTTCCTGCTCTCGTGCGACTCAATCCGCGAGCTGCCAGCAGGTTTTTGCTGCCTCACAGCTCTCACGACTCTCTGCCTCGGGCGAGTGGCGCTTCCAGCGGACATAGGCCGCCTGAGTAACCTCCACACCCTGCTTGTGAGAGACAGCCTCGAGCATTGGCATCTGCCGCCCTCGTTATCCGAGATCACGTCGCTCACAAGGCTTGAGCTGGACGAGTGCGGCGTGGAGGAGCTGCCAGAGGGCGTGGTGGGATCGCTCTGCAACCTGCGCGAGCTGCACGTCTCATACTGCCCTCTGCTCACGGCCCTTCCAGCATCTGTGACGTGCCTGACTGCCCTTGAAGCTCTCTCACTCGCTTACTGCCATAATCTGGCCTCGGCGCCCGCGAGGCTGGACGGCTTGACACGGCTCAAGTGGCTGGAGGTGGCCCAATGTGACAAGCTCACAAGGCCTCCTCTAGTCCTGCCGCCTTCCATTGAATGGCTGAGTTGGGGAGGTCACAGGCAGGCCATGGCTCTGCCAGACATGTCCGCGCTGACGGGGCTTCGATCGCTTCGCCTGGACGTTGTTGCGGTGGCATGTGGGGTCGCTGTGAGCAGGAGCCTATCGCACCTGGAGCATTTGCACCTAAGTTTGGCCGGCGATGCGGAGGAGCTTCCATTCGCCTTGACGTTTCTCTCCCGCCTGCGCACCCTGATTGTTGAGAGCGCAAGGCTTGTCCTGTTGCCGGCCGATATCGGGTCAGCAGTGCCGCAGCTGCGGGAGCTGAGCCTGATAAGTGCGGGTGAGTTGAGGGAGCTGCCAGCGAGTGTGACTGTGCTGCAGAACCTGACGTTCTTGGGGGTTTATGCTGCGGCCAAACTGGCTTCTCTTCCGGATGACATCGGTGCCTTATCCCGGTTGCGCGAGCTGCACCTCATTCGCTGTGAGCAGCTTGAGCATCTGCCTGCCTCTCTCACCCAGCTTGCCCGCCTGACCCAGCTGTCAATCTCAAGCTGCCCCATCCGCTCCCTGTGTCCCACCTTTTCCCAGTTCACGCGGCTCAGATCCCTCTGTTTCTCAGGCTATGCACAGCTGGAGGCATTGCCAGGGGGGTTTGTGTGAGGTGAAGGCACTGCGGATGTTGGATGTGGAGGAGTGCGGGCATGTGAAGGACAGTGATGGGTCTGTGCTCCCCAGAAGCATCAATGAGGTGTATGGGCTGAAAATATCCACTTAGGTAAGCATCATTAAGGTACTATGGCATGTAGCATCTCTTTGTTAGGCTGTTTCGTTAGCTGTGATGTGATGAAATGACTCTGAGGTGGGCAGTGCGCATAGAAGGCAGAGAATGAATAGACTCGTAGGAGTTAGGGAGGGTTTTGAACGCCTGGAGGAATGGTGCTGAGGGTGATTACTTCAGTGGCTGACTGCCGCTGGTGGCGTTTACCAACACTGCCATCTATGTTACTGCCTTCGCGGTACTGCCGCAATTCTCATCACAACTGTCATCACATCCTCGTCTCAGCCTCAATCTTGTACTACTACCCATATCATTGGCCTCCTCACTTAGAAACAACAAGCATCCAAGTGAATAATCACTGGGCCGGGTCATGCCTAAAACGTGTCAGGTGTAGTACGGTATAGTAGGGTACATGCACCGCATATGTTTTGGAACGGCTGAACTCTTCCGGAATTTCTGCTCTGCACCAAGCCCCATGATCACAATCAGCCTGGACACAATCTGCCTGCACTGCCCCTCAGCGCTGCATGCTGCAACAGGTTCTGCAGGCGCACGCAGCACCATTCCCGCCAGGCCATTTGGGCCCAGAAAGGAGCAGGAGGTGGGAGATGCGCCACTGATGCTGCCATTGCCGCTGCTGACAGCACTGCGGCTGATGCCGCTGCTGGTGGTGCTCGTGCTGGCGGCTGTGGGTTCAGAAACGATTGGCTGATGGCAGCAGACAGGGGGAAGCGTCTTGGTTTGTAAAGGAGGCGCATGAGGCGGGAGATGCCGCCGTTGCCGCTGTTGATGGCTCTGCTGTTGCTGCTGCTGCTGGTGGGGTTCGTGCAGGAGGGAAGGGGGAAGAGAGTATTCACGCCCTCCAGAGGGAAGGGGGAAGAGAGTATTCACGCCCTCCAGAGGGGAGGGGGAAGAGAGTATTCACACCCTCCAGAGGGAAGGGGGAAGAGAGTATTCACGCCCTCCAGAGGGGAGGGGGAAGAGAGTATTCACACCCTCCAGAGGGAAGGGGGAAGAGAGTATTCACGCCCTCCAGAGGGAAGGGGGAAGAGAGTATTCACGCCCTCCTGAGGGAAGGGGGAAGAGAGTATTCACGCCCTCCAGAGGGAAGGGGGAAGAGAGTATTCACGCCCTCCAGAGAGAAGGGGGAAGAGAGTATTCACGCCCTCCAGAGGGAAGGGGGAAGAGAGTATTCACGCCCTCCAGAGGGAAGGGGGAAGAGAGTATTCACGCCCTCCAGAGGCAGCGACTGGCTGTCGATGATGGCAAGGTCTGTCCTGATTCAGGTGCATGTGATGCGCAGAAAAGGGGGGGGGAAGGGAAGGACAAGGGGAAACGGGGAGGGGGGAGCGAAAACGGAGGAGGAGGAGAGGGGAAGGGGAGGGAAAGGGGAGTGTTGGGGGGGAGGGGGGGGAGAGGGGGAGGAGAGGGTTAGGGGCGGGGAGTAGGGGAGAGGGCGAGGTTGAGGTGATGGGACGGGGGCAAAGGGAAAGGAAAAGGGAAGCGGACAAGAAGGGGAACTTTACCTAATTAGGAAATAACAGAAGAGCTTTACATAAGGGATAGCGCATAACTATGGTATTTGGAAAGGGAGAGGAAGCAGAGGGGAAGAAGAGAGAAAGGGGGGGAAAGGGGAGGTAAAGATGAGGGGAAGGGGTAGTTGGCTGGTGTACAAAAGGAATGGCATGCACCCCCACTCAACCATGCACTGGTACCATATGCCCACACACGCCATGCACACACCATACCATGCACTGGAACCCACGCACACACCATGCACATGCACACACCATGCACATGCACACGCCATGCACATGCACACACCATGCACATGCACACACCATGCACATGCGCACACCATGCACATGCACACACCATGCACATGCACACATACCACTCACCCACCCACCCAACCACTCACCTCACCATGCGAATCTTGTGGCTCGTATTTGCCAAGACGATGCTCGGGCTCCACTGCTTCTTAGCGCCTCTGCTGGTTTTCTCCTCGGCTGACAAAAGGGGCTTAAGGTTATTACAAAGGGGATAAATCTGCATGATTGTACCCTGATAGGAAAGAAGGACGAGGAGGAAGGACGAGAGGGAAGAAGGGGGAAGGGGAAGGGGAAGAGGTAACGAAGTAAGCACAACAATGGAGGCAGGCGGGCCAGAAACAAACTGCCAGCGCACATAAGCTGAGGGTGAGAAGGGGGAACAGAGAGGACGGGAAAAGGGAAGGGATAACACAAGGCCGCAACAGTATATTGGTACTCTTTTCAAGGAATATGGCATATCTGCTTGGCACAGGCATAGGCGGGGTCACCCGAGACGTGCCCAACAGGCATGAGCACGTGCCGGGCCTGGGTCGGCTTGCTGGGCATGAGCCCACGGCTCGGCCCGTGCTCATGGCTGGGCCATATCTGCTCGCTCCCACACCCCCCCTGCTCGCGCCCAAACCCCCCCTGCTCGAGCCGTCACCCCCCCTGCTTGCACCCACATCCCCCCTACTTGCGCCCACGCCCCCCCTGCTTGCGCCCACACACCCGCCTGCTCGCTCCCACATACCCTCCTGCTCGCGCCCACACCCCCTTGCTTGCGTCCATACACCCAGCCTGCTCGCTCCCACAAACCTCCCCTTCCCGCGCCCACACACCCACCCCTCTTTCTCGGACCCACACCCCCCTTGCTCGCATCTACACCCCCCTTGCTCGCACCCACCCACCCACACACCCCCCTGCTCGCGTCCACAACTCCCCCTTTTACTGTGCCCACAAAATGTGACACGCAGTGTGTGCAGCTTGGGTCGCATCGCATGCATCACTGAGTCACTCACACTGACCTGCCCAATTCGGACCGGAATCTGGCCCGGACCGGCCCAGCCTCACACCAGAAACCCCGGGCCGCAACTCGGGCCACGTCCAGCCTGGAGTGCTGAGCTGGGCCAGCCCGACAGTTATACAATTTCGCCGCAGCCCAGCCCACGAACAGGCCCATGTTCATGTATCATATCAAATGTACCCCACACAGTGCACGTGCATAGCTCCCCGCCTCGCTTGCTGAAAAACCAAGCCACGCCACCACCATCTCGCGTCCCTCCCCCACCTCCTGCCCTACCCACACCCGTCTCCCCACACCTCTCCCCGTTCAGCTGAAGCTTGGGAAAGAGCGCATGTAAAACGCACCTGACAGCCATGGCGTGCTCAAGGGCTGCTTCGGAGGGCTGGTACAGAGGGCTGGTACAGAGGGCTGGTACGGGCTCAGAGGGCTGGTACAGAGGGCTGGTACAGAGGGCTGGTACAGAGGGCTGGTACAGAGGGCTGGTACAGAGGGCAGGTACAGAGGGCTGGTACAGAGGGCTGGTACAGAGGGCAGGTACAGAGGGCTGGTACAGAGGGCAGGTACAGAGGGCTGGTACAGAGGGCTGGTACAGAGGGCTGGTACAGAGGGCTGGTACAGAGGGCTGGTACAGAGCTGCCCGGTTCGCTTCCTGCAAGTCCATGCCACCACCACCTCGCCCCTCTCCGCCACCTCCTACCCCACCCACACCCATTTCTCCCCCCACCTCTCCCCATCCGGCCGAAACTTCGGGAAGAGCGCAGGTGAGACGCACCTGAAAGCCCTGGCGTGCTGGAGGGCCGGTTTGGAGGATTGAGGAGTAGTGGAGGAGCAGGAGGAGTACATGCGGGGTGCAGTGCAGCAGCTGGTGGGTCACCACCGTGTGAGTGAACTCGATCACGTTGGACACACGATGCGGAATAATTTGCCAAAGCATCCCATTTGAATTGGCCTCCCAGCATCCCAGCAGCCCAGCAACCCAGCAGCCCCGGATGGCTCGGTCTGAATGGATTGATGCACGTGCGAGGTGATACAGCGACCCAGTTGGTAGGAATAAGGGGGGGAAGGAGGGGGGAAAGAAGGAACAGGGGGGGAGAGGAAAAAGGTGAGAACGAGTGAGTGGGAGGCAAATAAGGAGTGTTGAAGGTCGCAAGGGAGATAAGTCATGGCATGTGCGAGTTGATGTGACTGTTTGTTTAGCTGGGCTGGAAGGGAGGGGAGTTGAAAACTTGAGACACAAAGAAATAATGGTGAGAAGGGGCGGGAGGACAGCTGGTAAGGAAGGGCGACTCTGCCCTTCAACACTCCCTCACATGAACGCCTTTGACGGGAGCGATTCACATGAAGGTTAGCACAGCTCACTCACCACCATTGCCACTGAACACCACCCCTTGACACCCACCATCAACCCCCATGCACATTCACCCGAAGGTCCTTCTTTGATGCATGTTCCAGGTGCCTTATCCTCCTGTGCATGTCTGTACGTTTCTGGTTGGTAATACATGGACCGCTTGAGAGAGAGAGCAGAGCCAAACGTCCTTGATGCGCGTGGCAGGGCAGAAGGGCGCTGGCTGTCGATCTTGGACTGTTCTGAGAAAATACAGGTGCATGTGATGAGAGAGGATGGGGAGGGAAAGGGGAGGGAACGAGGAGGGGAGGGGGAGGGTACGGGGATGGGAATAGGAGGGAAACGGGAAGGTATGGGAAGGGGATCGGGAGGGGAAAGGGAGGGGAAGGGGATGGAAAATGGGGGAGAAGGGGAAGCAAGGAGAACCGAAGAGGAGGGGAAGCGGAGAGAAATGGGAGGAGAGAGGGAGGAGAAGGGGAGGGAAAGGGGAGGGGAAATGGGGAGTAACAGACAGAGAAATGGGAGGGTAAGGGGAGAGGAAGGGGAGGTGAAGGGGAGGCCAAAGCGACAGACAGGAAGTAGATGGAAAGGAGAGGGGAAGGGGAGGGAACGGGTCAGGGGAACGAGGAGAACGGGGTTATTGGCTGGATTATAAAATGAAAGGAAGGAACCTTTCAGTCAGCCACGCAGTGGTGCCTTATGCCCACCACAATCGCCATGTAAGACCTTGCAGTGCAAACCATTCACACAAATCACACACCATGCACACACCACACCATGCATGCACACTATATGCACATGCATGCATCGTTCCCACCCACCCCGTTCACCATGGCCATGCGCACATAGCAGGCAGCCATCCAGCCATCCAGCCACCTTGTTCACCATTCATGGGGATGTGGGACCTTGGCGTCCCTTGCCGCTTCTCTTCTCACCTTGCCTCGCCTCGCCTCTCCATCTTGGACTGTTAGGAGCTGATTCAGGTGAATTTGATGAGAGGGATGGGGGGGGGAAGGGCAGGGAATGGGCAGGGAATGGGCAGGGAATGGGCAGGGAATGGGAAGGGAATGGGAAGGAATGGGAAGGGAATGGGAAGAGAATGGGAAGAGAATGGGAAGAGAATGGGCAGGGAATGGGCAGGGAATGGGCAGGGAATGGGCAGGGAATGGGCAGGGAATGGGGAGGTGATGGGGATTGGAAGGGGAGGGGAAGAGGAGGGGAGCGGGAAGGGACGGGGAGGGAAAGGGGAGATGAAGGGGAGGGGAAGGGGAGGGGAAGGGGAGAAGAAGGGGAGGGGGAGGGAAAGGGATATAAGGGTGGGGGGGGGGGAGGGAGAGGGGAGGGAAAGGGGAGGAAACGAGGAGGGAAAGGGGACCAAACGATGAGGGGAGGGGGTTGTTGCTTGGTATATCAAATAAATAAAAGGTACCTCCCGTCAACCATGCACTCGTGGCATATGGCCACCAGAACCGCCATGCACAAACCATGCACTGCAGACCATGCACTGCAGACCATGCATGCACTGCAAACCATGCATGCACCATGCACATGCACGCATCGCCCCCACCCATCCACCCACCCACCCTGCTCACCATGCATCGGGGTGCAAATCTCGTGCCTCATATTCCTCAAAACGATGCTCTTGGCGTCGCTTGTCGCCTCTGCTGCCACCTTGGCTCGCCTCAGCTGCTCTTCCTGCCTCGGCGTCTCTGGCAGGTCATGCCACATGCCCACCAACACACTGTCAGCACCAGTGGGGCAGGAGCTGCTTTGTACAAGAGGGAGGGGAGGGGAGGGAAGGAAGGAAAGATGCGCGGGGGAGCGGAAGGGGTACGAAAGCAGGGCAGTACGGGACAAAGGCATGAGCACACGAGCATAATGTCTGCACCGACCGAGGCACATTAGCTGGGTGTGAGTGAAAGGGATAGAGGGGAGGGGAAGAGATAATACAAAGAGGACAGCAATCGAGGCAGGCAGGCATAAGGTCACAAAAACACTGGCAGCTCCGATGCACATTAGGTGAGTGGGAGACCGGAAAAGGAGAGGAAGGATGGGAGGGAGGTGGAGGGGAGGGAAAGGCAGCAACAACAATCATCAGCCATTCTGTAAATGGGATATGTGCACACATAGGAAAACGATCACAGTAGCTACCTGGTACTGGAAATCAATATGTACAGCCCGAGGCGGCGCCGCCTGAGAGCGACAGTGTATCCCTACAGTATGCGTGGATTATATGTATCATATGTACCCCATACAGTGCAGATGCAGGGGACAGTGAACGATCACAGTACCTACCTGGTACTAGAAGTAAATCTGCATCCCCCTTCCGTCTCGCTTTCTATATAAGTCCAAGGCACCACCACCTCGCCTCTCTCCACCCCTGCCTGCCCTGCCCTCCCACACTTATTTCTCCCCACACATCTCCCCATCCAGCTAAAGCTTGTGAGAGAGTGGGGGTGAGTGAGACGCACCCGAGAGGCATGGCCTGCTGGAAGGCCGTTGTGGAAAATGGAGGGGTAGCGGAGGAGCAGGAGAGAAGCCGGGGTGCAGTGTAGGAGCTGGCGGCACTGCTGTATACCAGTGCCACTCCACTACCGAGTCCTGGTGTAAGGGGGATGATGAGCGGCGGTACAGGGCGTTGGTGGGAGAGATGAGAGAAGGGAAGGTTGTAGGAGGAGCAACTCAGGCTAAGGGGTGAGAGTCTGGGAGAACAAGGGAGGGTTGAGGGTGGGAAACAGGAAGCAGGTGGTGGGAGGAAGGGGAAAGGGGGGTAGAAAGAGAGGGGAGGCGACCGGGGGGGGAACACGAAGGGGTGGGGGAGTGGAGGGGGGCAGGTAAAGTTGCTTTGGATGACTTGTAGGAATAACAACCGTTGGAGAGCAGCAGATTGCTGGAAAGGTAGAGGCACGAGAGGAAAAGAGTAGACAGGCGGAGCGCTGTGCTCGTGGAAGTAGGTACAGTTGGACTAAGGCAAGGGTGAACGATGAGGGGTGGGACTCATGGGAGGAGAATCAGGTGCCAGTCGGGATCTACGCGCTTCTTACCAAACAGATGGGCACCATTCCACAGCAGAGGGAGGGGGGAGGGAGAGGATGAGGACTGAGTGATGCCACAAGAGCCAAGGGATACCTGAAAAGGAAATCATGATTCAGAGCATGGGAAACCGACAAGGAAGATTTAGAAGTGGATAGACGGTGTTGGGGGCTTGACGGGGGCGAGAAGCAGGCAGGGGGAGAAAGAGGCATGACTGCGTCATGCATGAGACGCGCTGCGTGTGCCTCGCAATCCCGTCCATTAATTCATCTTACCGTTTCCTTCTCTCAGATCTCTCCATCGCAGTCCTTAGCCCGTCCCTGTTGTCAGGCATCACCATCGCACGCCCGCTTCTAAACCATCTCGCGCACGAGCGGCGCGCCGTGGGGAAAACGCAGCGCATCGAGGCTTCGGGCTCCACCCCAGCTCGTTGCTGCGAAGAGCACTGGAGAGAAATCGAGGCGCATCAAGGTTCCCGTTCTAGGCTGTACCCCAGCTCGTTGTTGCCAAGTGCCACTTGGGAAACGCGGTGCATCGGGTCGATTGCAAGTGCATGGTGCCTCAGTGGCGCTGCGACGCGCGGCATTCAAAACCCATCAAGCTCCATTTCAAAGAGTCGCTCCCCCAGGTCTTTGCTTCCATTTCAATTCTGAGCTGCGCGTGGCGGCATCGTCATTTTCAGCAAGGCGCGTTTCGCGAGACACTGGAACAGGCAACATCAATTTAGAGGCGCCGGTTGTCGCAGCGCTCAATCTTCTGACTGAGCATGCGGAGCCGGCCCAAACGGTGCACAGATTGCTTCCACTTGCCACCCCTCGAACGCCCTCCCCCACGCATGCTGGCACGCCTGCTGCACAGGGTTTAGGGAAAGGGCTAAAGACAGAGTTGAAGGGTCATGAGACCCCTGCGCAAGAGAGCAGCAACACAGTATGTTTCTTCCTTTGCCTGCCCAGCGATCGCCTCGTTACAGCTTCCGTGCTGCTGCCAAATCACTCACCTCCCGCCTCACTCCTCTCACCTGCTGGCAAGCAAACATCACAGCAGAGCGAACACGACTAGAGCGAACCGGACCAGACCAGACCAGATCCGAGCGCAGGAGAAAAGACCATAGCGCCGCCGGACCACCAGACCATGATATGGCCACAACGTCAACACACAGCGGACTCCAGATGCAAGCTAGTGAGACGGCGGCGGGTGGAACGGGAAGAGCTGAAGAGACGACGAAATGGCGGTGCGACGAGGGGAAGCGACGAGGCGAACTGAAGGCGAACTGAAATGGCAAAGTGGCGGCGTGACATGCGAAATGGAGGCATAACATGGCGACAGGGTAGCGGGACGCGGCGAAATGACGATGTGACATGACGAAATGGCAGCGTGACATGTGAATTGGCGGCGTGGCATGACGACATCGCAGCGCGACGCGGTGGAATTACGGTGTGACCTGGCGAAATGGCGGAAAGGAATGGCGAGATGAAAGCACTACACGGATCTTAGGAGGGGCGAATAGTCACATTGCGGACTGCGGCGAAACACGTCGGCAGGAAGAGCATAAGCGCGCAGAGCCGATTGCTCAAGCACCCATCACGTCGACTAAACATGGTAGAAACGACAGTGAAGCATAGCGTCTGATTCTTAGGCGCCTCAAAAATAGCCCGACAACGCAGAGCAGATCCTACTTCTGAAGCCTCTAGCGTGAAAACCACGAGCGAGGGTCGATGGATTTTACTTAGCTGTCGCTCAGCGGCTCCTCAAGGCGATTGAGGGGAAAGAAAGACTACTTATGCGGATAAGTTAAAATTTGGTTTTGCCTGCTGGGAGCAAACTTTATATGGTTACCAGCCTCGTTCTTGTCGCTATGGCATTGTGCGAAGCTCTGAATTCTGCGAGGTTCCGAGTTTGCAGAAATCTTGGCAAAAATGCACCCCAATACAACAGTCGCTGGCACACGAGGTTCGGCTAGGTAGGCTGGCGCAGACTTCGGCGCTCTGTACGTTCGGGTTTGGTTAGCAGAGGCGACATATCAGGGGTCACGTAGGTATCTTACGAAGCCCCGAACATGAAGGGGAGTTGGCACGCCTGATTTGACGAAACCGAAGCTGACTCGAGTCGCTTCTGAACCTTCCGTTTCCGCCTTACCTCAAACCTCCCCCTCCAAAATCCAAACCACCTGAAGTCGCAACGAAATGTCGCAGGCGGAGTAACACCGCCGGTGGGCGATCATCGACGGTTGGTCTAAATTGACGTAGCAACAACTGTTTAGCAATGTGTGTGTATAAAAGTTGTAGTATACACATGGTTGTAATTCTGACAAACAGAATGTAAAAATGGCTTACAAACTCCCCATGGTTTGACTCATAACTCTGATATTTGTGGTTCAGTTTGAATGAAACCTAGATTTCCTGGACCTCCTTGATGTCCTCTTCAAGCTAGCATGTATTTGTTATTTTGGACAAAATCATTGATTCTGTCACTTTTGGCTCAACTAAGGTTGCTTCTAGCAGTTGCAATGTCATTTTATGGATATCATGCACATGTGTTATGGTGTGACCATTTGTTTTTGGTTTTTTAGTGTTATGGCACCTGTTCCAGGCCCCCACATCATTCACAGCTCAGTGCACACACCATAGGTGGGTTTTCTGTGCTAGAAATTCAGTACAGAATTACCTGGTGTGATGTTTCAAGTGAAATCAACCACTTCTCCTTGGGCATTTGACCTGATTTTGATAGGGGACCCTCATCACACCTATTAAAGACTCCCCTCTGAAATTCACCTCATTTGCCCAAGTTTTGCTATGGTTTTAAAGCGTTGATCTGCAGCAGACTGCAGAATTCTGTGCAGAAATGCCTGGAATCAGGTTGCAGGTGGAATCACCCAATTCTTCTTGGGCAAATGGGATGATTTTCAGAGGGGACCCTCATCACAAATATTCCAGACCCCCCTTTGAAATTCACCTCATTTGCCCAAGTTTTGCTATGGTTTTCAAGCCTTGTTCTGCTGCAGACTGCAAAATTCTGGACAGAATTGCCTGGAATCAGGTTGCAGGTAGAATCACCCACTTCTCCTTGGGAAAATGAGATGATTTTCAGAGGGGACCCTCATCACAAATATTCCAGACTTCCCTCTGAAATTTACCACATTTGCCCAAGGTTTGCTATGGTTTTCAAGCCTTGTTCTGCAGCAGACTGCAGAATTTTGTGCAGAAATGCCTGGAATCAGGTTGCAGTTGGAACCGCCCATTTCTCCTTCGGAAAATGGGATGATTTTCAGAGGGGACCCTCATCACACCTATTCCAGACTTGCCTCTGAAATTCACCTCATTTGCCCAAGTTTTGCTATGGTTTTCAAGTCTTGTTCTGCAGCAGCCTGCAGAATTCTGTGCAGAAATGCCTGGAATCAGGTTGCAGGTGGAATCACCCACTTCTCCTTGGGCAAATGGGATGATTTTCAGAGGGGACCCTCATCACACTTATTCCATACTCCCCTGTGAAATTCATTTCCTTTTCCCAAGGTTTGCTATGGTTTTCAAGCCTTGTTCTGCTGCAGACTGCAGAATTCTGGGCAGAATTGCCTGGAATCAGGTTGCAGGTGGAATCACCCACTTCTTGGGCAAATGGGATGATTTTCAGAGGGGACCCTCAGCACACCTATTCCAGAATCCCTCTAAAATTCAGGGAATTGCATGATGGTTTGCTATGGTTTTAAGGCTCTGGTATTCGGGAACAGATATGGGCAAAAATGCGTTATATACATATATATATTTGTTGTTGTTGTTGTTGTTGTTGTTGTTGTTGTTGTTGTTGTTGTTGTTGTTGTTGTTGTTGTTGTTTTTTTTTTTTTTTTTGCTCACATTGTTTAGTTGTCATTCTAAACCAGAACTTTGTTTTATTAAGGTTGATTCACACAACATGAGGTACGCTTTGTTGAGACGATTTGTTTATGTTGTAAGTCACTTAGTTACCTTTTGCAGTATTTTGTACCTGCAATTTCTTTTTGGTACAAATTTCCTCCTAAGACGGTAAGCGAAACACTCTACACGCTGCTCTCGGCCTGCACAGAGATTTGCTAAGGGCGTGTGCACTAGGCGTGTCAGAATCTTATGCTCTAGCCTGTAGTGGGGTGCTCTATAGCGAGTACAACCCTTCTAGGGTTTACTATTTGTATCCTCATTCTTGCTAGTGCAACCCTCTTCTTTCTTCTAAACTTTCACAAGTTATCAGAGCAGGTCGATCCCCTTGGATCGATCCTGTGGGTGGGCTCACCACCTCGTTGCTTCTGCTGCAACTCCTTCTGCTACTCTCTGTGCCGCACGCCCAGTGACGTGCGGCACTTTTTCTTCCCACCGTGCACCCCGAGGCGCGCGGCGGCTTTCTGCCCGCCGTGCGCCCCGTGGCACGCGGCGGTTTTCTGCCCGCCGTGCGCCCCAAGGCGCGCGGCGGTTTTCTGCCTGACGTGCGCCCCGAGGCGCGCGACGGGTTTCTACCCCGTCTCTCGGCGTGTCGCCCCCGGGAGGCGCTGCGACAGGGGGGGGGGGGGGGGGGGGGGGGGGGGCGCGCGTCGCCCTCCGTCACCGCTCCTATCGGCCCCGAACCGCCGCCAGCGGCCCCGTCGTCCCACCGCCCTACCTGCGGCCCGTCGCCCTACCTGCGGCCCCGGCCCCGGCCCCGTCGCCCTACCTGCGCCTCGGCCCCGGCCCCGCCGCCCTACCTACGGCACCGCCTCCTCCCCCCCCCCCCCCCCCCCCCCTTTTCCCGTCGCCCGTCGCGGCTCCTTCGGGGGCCGCGACCTGGGGGGTGGCGCGTGTGTGGTCTCTCCTGCTCCTCCTCCTCCTCCTCCGTCTCCTTGTGCTGCAGCTGCCGCTGAGGGGGGGTGGACTTGTTGGAGCCGGTGGAGAGGTACTAAGGGGGGGTGAAGGGGGAGTGGAGTTAGGGGTGTAGCAGTGGGTGCATGAGAGGGGCGTTGGGCAGCTAGGGAAGGTTGAGTGGAGGCACCAGTCTTGTCGTCAGCAGCAGCAGCAGTTCGGAGGCTACAATCTCCGGTAGTCGCCAGTCGCCCGTGGGTCCGTTTCCCGTCTGCCGCTACTTTAGCTGCGGGGCCAGTTACTCCAGTAGTCCGGAGCGCTGTTCCGGTAGCCACTGAGCCAGCAGCTCGTTTGTGTGTCTGCAGCATCAGCAGTCGCCTCCCATCTTCTCTCCCCCATAGTCCCTCCTCCTCCACACATGCCC